TTTTCAAGAGAGGGAAGCTTGGAAAAGACGACATCAAGCAGCGAATTCACTCTGATCTTTAAGAGAGGGATCCCAACAAGATAGGAAGGATTGGCAGGAGATTCTTCATTGACGCCATGCTCGGAAGGCAACGGGATTGCCGATGGGGTCCTCGGAGGTGCCAGGCCCAAGGTTCACACCAAAGGCGCCCAAAGAGGAAGTCCATCGTGATGGAATGCAGAAATAAAAACATGTACTTATCGAGGGGCTGTATAACTTTATGGCTGCAAATGTTCTGAATGTTTTTATGACTATGGTCACATGTTCGGCACCTCTGAGGCTGGTAGCCCACTTGGCCACCTTCCCGGTCAATTCAGGACAAACCACGACCTTTGGAAGTTTGGAGCCCAATTTAAAGTCAATGGGATTTACGCAAGGGTTGTCTCAATCGCCAGCCACGCAGCCAATGGATTTAGCTCTCATTAAAAACTATTCGCACATGGCAACAAACTGTCATAACTCGGTTTGTCATGCCGCAAATCACGATATGATTTGTAGCTGATTGATAAACTCTGGTTGAGTAGCGTGTGACAATGTTGGAATCTGCAATTATATCATTATTCCTGACATTTTAAAACAGACAAGAAAGAATGTATGCAAATGATTAGAGTTGTGTGCGGTATTCGTTTCTCCCATTTCATCCGTTCTTTCCTTACTTTTGTTACCTTTGGGAGCACGCAACGGGAAGGCCCCTCCTGGTATGAAAATCAGCTTGACACAAAAGCAAGCAGAAGCCAATCCCGGCTCCTTCTCTGCTTTTCGGCATCACAGTTTATTCTTTTTTATTAATCCCCCAGCAAAACAAAAAAATAAACCCTAATTCCCCCAAAATGACTCTTCTTCCAGGAGGTAATCATTCTTCCTTACCTAGAAGTGGGAAGCCTCCTTAAAATGTCTTGGAAAGAGTGTGTGGCTGGCTGGCGTGGTGCAGCCCGGGAGAAAGCATGCACTCCTGCCTGCATCCAAGCATCTCCTCTAGAGTCAGAACTAAGAAACACAAATTGCCTTCCTGCCTTGGAAATGTGTGTGTGGTGTGCTTCAGACCCAGAAAACGCACGCACCTGCTAGTGCAATGCCTGCAGCCGAGCGCCTCCTCTAGACTAGAAACACAACTTGCCTCCTTGCCTTGGAAAGAGAGTGCATACGTGGTGTGCAGGCCCAGCGCCTGCATCTACAAATACAACGCTTGCAGTCAAACACCTCCTCTAGAGAGAGTGTGTGTGGCATGTAGACCCAGAAGCACATGCGCCTGCCAATGCCTGCAGCCAAACACCACCTCTAGAGTAGAAACACAGCTTGTCTCCTTATCTTGGAAAGAGAGTGCATGTGTGGTGTGCAGGCCCAGCGCGTGCATCTACAAGTACAACGCCTGCAGTCGAGCGCCTCCTCTAGAGTAAGAAACACAACTTGCCTCCTCGCCTTGGAAAGAGAGCATGTGTGGGTGTGTTGCAGACTCAGAAAGCACATGCACCTGCCAGTGCAATGCCTGCAGCCGAGCACCCCCTCTCGAGTGGAAACACAACTTGCCTCCTTGCCCTGGAAAGAGTGTGTGTGTGGCGTGTTTCAGACCCAGAAAGCAGACACGCCTGCCAGTGCAATGCCTGCAGCCGAGCACCTCCTCTACAGTGAGAAACACAACTTGCCTCCTTGCCTTGGAAAGAGAGTGCGTGTGTGGTGTGCAGGCCCAGCACGTGCATCTACAAGTACAACGCCTGCAGTCGAGCGCCTCCTCTAGAGTAAGAAACACAACTTGCCTCCTCGCCTTGGAAAGAGAGCATATGTGGGTGTGTTGCAGACTCAGAAAGCACATGCGCTTGCCAGTGCAATGCCTGCAGCCGAGCACCTCCTCTAGAGTGGAAACACAACTTGCCTCCTTGCCTTGGAAAGAGTGTGTGTGTGGCGTGTTTCAGACCCAGAAAGCAGACACGCCTGCCAGTGCAATGCCTGCAGCCGAGCACCTCCTCTAGAGTAAGAAACACAACTTGCCTCCTTGCCTTGGAAAGAGAGTGCGTGTGTGGTGTGCAGGCCCAGTGAATGCATCTACAAGTACAGCACCTGCAGTTGAGCACCTCCTCTAGAGTAGAAACACAACTTGCCTCCTTGCCTTGGAAAGAGAGTGCGTGTGTGGTGTACAGGCCCAGCGAGTGCATCTACAAGTACAACACCTGCAGTTGAGCGCCTCCTCTAGAGTAAGAAACACAACTTGCCTCCTTGCCTTGGAAAGAGAGTGCGTGTGTGGTGTGCAGGCCCAGTGAATGCATCTACAAGTACAGCACCTGCAGTTGAGCACCTCCTCTAGAGTAGAAACACAACTTGCCTCCTTGCCTTGGAAAGAGAGTGCGTGTGTGGTGTACAGGCCCAGCGAGTGCATCTACAAGTACAACACCTGCAGTTGAGCGCCTCCTCTAGAGTAAGAAACACAACTTGCCTCCTTGCCTTGGAAAGAGAGCATGTGTGTGGTGTGCAAGCCCAGCGCATACACCTGCAAGTACAATGCTTGTAGCCATACACCTCCTCTAGAGTAAGAAACACAACATCAAAAAATGGAAACAAATTGGGGAATAAGCGGTAATAAAGCTTTGAAAGCGTATGACTATAGACAGAGTTTGAAGATGCCAACGTGCTGCTTGTTACTCCTGCTGCATGAGATAACCGCCTGGACACGCTGCTCTGGGAACGTCCCTCACGTGCGAGGTTCGTTTATCAAGCGCCATTTATCAAACGAGGGTGAGAGATTAATGAATTAACCAGAGAAACACAAATTGCGTCAGGGCCATAAACCTGGTTCGGGGAGCTCACGGAGCATACAGGGACAAAGCTGCACAGGTTTACTACAAGTCCCATGAATCTAGCTAGACCTGGGCAAGGGGTCGTGAGGGGGTTTCAGAGGGGTCGCCAAAGACCATCAGAAAACACATATTTCTGATGGTCTGAAGTACCCCTTTGGCAGAGAAAGCTGAAGATCTCTCCACCTGTCCTTCCCTTCCTTTTTGGAAACTGATGGCAAATCCTCCCACCAAAAGCCCTCCTCCATTGTGATTGGCTGGCCTCTTAGCCAAGGGGAAGGCTCTTTCTGAGACTCCAAGCGGGTAGAGGAGAGCAGGCGTGCTCGGCACATGGCAGCTACGATTGGCCAGCCTCTCAGTCAAGGGTAGGTCTGTTTCTGAGATTCCAAGTGGGTAGAGGAGAGCAGGCGTGCTCGGCACATGGCAGCTATGATTGGCCAGCCTCTCAGCTAAGGGGAGGGCTATTTCTGAGTCTCCAAGTGGGTAGAGGAGAGCAGGCGTGCTCGGCACATGGCAGCTGTGATTGGCCGGTCTCTCAGCCAAGGGGAGGGCTGTTTCTGAGGCTCCAAGCAGGGAGGGGAGAGCAGGCGTGCTCGGCACATGGCAGCTATGATTGGCCGGTCTCCCAGCCAAGGGGAGGGATGTTTCTGAGACTCCAAGTGGGGAGAGGTGAGCAGGCGTGCTCGGCGAATGGCAGCATGGTGTGCACGTGCGGGCGAGGGAGAGCGTGCAAGGCTGGAGGGAGGCTCATGCCAGCGAGTCCTCTCAAGACATGGGGGTTCTGTTTGGGAAGTTAGGCCTAATTCTATCATTGGTGGGGTTCAGATTGTAGGTGAACTATACATCCCAGCAACTACAACTCCCAGGTGAGGCCTGTCCACAGAAGAAGAGAGAGGCACCATGAGCTGATTTGATTTTGACACTCTTCCCCTTTGGATGCAGCCCAAAATTGTGTTGGCTTTTGGAGCTGCTGGGTGTCACTCTTGGCTCGTGTTCAACTTGTCCACCCTCCCCAGGATGCCATAGCAGTCAAACTGGGGTCAAGCTGCTGCAATTCCATCCAATTGCACCCCATGTTCTGGTTGTTTTAGAGTTTGGGATACGGGGCAAGGAATTCTGCTATTGCAATCCCATCATCCTCTGTTTGTTTGTGGAATGCTTGGGGATGATGAGACCTATAATTCCCAGGATGCCATAGCACTGAGCTCTGGCAGCCAAAGTGGGGTCAAGCTGCAGCAATTCCATGCAAATGCACCCTTATGTTCTGCTTACTGTGCGGTTTGGATACAGGGCAAGGGATTCTCCTCTTGCAATCCCATCATCCTCTGTTTGTTTGTGGCATGCTTGGGGATGATGGGACCTACAATTCCTAGGATGACATAGCAGTCAAAGTGGGGTCAAGCTGCAGCAATTCCACTCAAATGCACCCCATGTTCTGGTTGCTTTGGAGTTTGGGATACAGAGCAAGGATTCTCCTACTGCAATCCCATCATCCTCATTGTGGGATGCTTGGGGATGATGGGACCTGTTCTGGTTGTTTTGGAGTTTGGGATACAGGGCAAGGGATTCTCCTATTGCAATCCCATCATTCTCTGTTTGTTTGTGGCATGCTTGGGGGTGATGGGACCTATAATTCCCAGGGTGCCATAGTGGGGTCAAGCTGCAGCAATTCCACCCAAATGTACCCCATGTTTTGGTTGCTTTTAGAGTTTGGGATACAGGGCAAGGAATTCTCCTATTGCAATCCCATCATCCTCTGTTTGTTTGTGGGATGCTTGGGAATGATGGGACCTACAATTCCCAGGATGTCATAGCAGCCAAAGTGGGGTCAAGCTGCAGCAATTCCTCCCAAATGCACCCCATGTTCTGGTTGCTTTAGAGTTTGGGATACAGGGCAAGGGATTCTCCTCTTGCAATCCCATCATCCTCTGTTTGTTTGTGGGATGCCAGGGGATGATGGGACCTGAGGATGCAGAACTCCCTTAATCCCATGGACAGGAACCAGTGGGATGATAGGCTTGCAAATCCGGGCACCGACCTTCCTTCTCTTTCTCTGCCTTTCTCTCCAGGGATGGAGGCGCCTGGAACCTGGGCGCGTGATTGACGGCTTTGGCCCCGCCCCTTCCTGTGGAATTTTCCTGAGTGGGGAGGAGGATGGGGAGAAGGGGTGGGATGCGAAGGAGAGGGGGGGGGGGATGCTGGGCTTAAAAAGCGGCTGCGCTGCAGAGCCTCTCGCAGCTGGAAAGAGTGGCGTCTCCCAGAGATCTTGGTGAGTCTGCGCCTTCCTTGGTGCCTTTCCTGGGGGGCTTCCTCGGAAGTAAAGCTCTCCCCCTTCCTTTCCTCCTTCCTTCTATGCTTCCTCTATCCCTTCCTTTTCCTTTCCTTTTTAACCCGGGTTCGAAAGGGTCTCCAAAAGCGCAAAAGAATGGAGAGGGTTGGGTGCGTTTTTGGAGAGTGTTGGGTGCGTCTCCAAGGGCGCACCGCTTTGGAGAGAGAGGATGATGGGCTTTCAACTCCCAAAACATAGGAAGGAGGAGACCTGGGGATGGCTTCACCTCTCCTCTTCCTTCTTGCCTTCCTTTCCTCTTTTCCTTTTCCTTCTGGCTCGAAATATCAGTCTCCAAAAGCGCACTGAAAGGGGGTCCCTTTTTGGAGAAGTCCTGGTGCGCCTCCAAGCGCTTTGGAGAGGTTGGGAGAGAGGGGATGATGGGCTTTCAGTGCCAAAAACAGAAGGGGGGGGGGAGACCTGGGGATGGCTAAAACTCTTCCTTTCCTTCCTGCCTTCTTTTCCTCCCTTTTTTTCCCTCCTCACTCAAAGTGGGGGTCCCCAGTAGTGCTGCCAAAGGGGGTCCCTTTTTGGAGAGGTCCTGGTGTCTCTCCAAAGGCTTTGGAGAGAGAATGATGGGCTTTCAATGCCAAAAACAGAGGTGGGAGGTGACTTAGAGATGGGCAAACCTTGCTCAAAGCGGGGGGGGGGGGTCTCCAAAAACGCAACCAAAGGGGGTCCTATTTTGGAGATGTCCTGGTACGTCTCCCAGACTTTGGAGACGTTGGGAGAGTGGATGATGGGCTTTCAATGCCAAAAACATAGTGGGAGGTGACTTGGGGATGAGTAAACACCTTCTTGCCAAACGCAACCAAAGGGGGTCCTATTTTGGAGATGTCCTGGTACGTCTCCCAGACTTTGGAGACGTTGGGAGAGTGGATGATGGGCTTTCAATGCCAAAAACATAGTGGGAGGTGACTTGGGGATGAGTAAACACCTTCTTGCCTGCCTTTCCAGCCTTTATTTTCTTTCTTGCTCAAAGTGGGGGTCTCCAAAAGCGCAACCAAAGGGGGTCCCTTTTTGGAGAGGTCCTGGTCCATCTCCAAGGGCACACTGATTTGAAGAGGTTGGGGGGAGGGGTAGAGAGGATGACAAGCCCCTGATGTCACAAAGGGTGGGAGAGGCAGAGGTGTGAGGTGGGCAACCAAAACGACACCCCCGAAGTCACTTTGCACGCGCTCAGAGGGACCTTTGGGTTCTCCCTGAGAAAGAGAAGGGCCCAATGTGTTGGGAGCATCCAGGTTGGGATCTTTTAGTCCTCTCTAAAGTTACGTTTCTCCCAAGCCCTTGCCTTGCTGCCCTTCCTTCTCCAATGGCAGAAATCCTTTCTCCTGCTGCTATGACGACGGGATGGAGAGGCACTTGCTGCATCATGCCAAGCCTCCAAGTCCTCCAAGTATTTTGGCACAACCTGTTCCTTTCCTTTGGACCCGGCCCTGGCTCCAGCTTTGCTACGGTCCAGGCGCTTGGCAAAGACGCTTACGATTCAGGCAGGCCTTTGCAGTCGAAACTGTCCTGCTGCCAAATGATTATCTGGCGGCAGTGGCTATTTCTATTTAGGGTGACGAGTTGGAGATGGCTTGAAGGCACACAGCGACAATAACCATGAGCTCTGCTCGCTTCTGGCTTGGAAATCTGCCTCTTTTTGAAGGGCTCTCAGGGATCCCCTCCTTGTGATCCTTGGCTTGGAGACCTCTCCAAAAAAGGACCCCTTTGGTGGGACTTTTGGAGACTTCCACTTTGAGACAGGAGGAAAGGAAGGCAAGAAGGAAAGGGAGAGGTTTACTCATCCATATGTCCCTTCTTTTGTTTTTGGCACTGAAAGCTCATCATCCTCTCCATCCTAACCTCTCCAAAACGGCACGCACTTGGAGACGCACCAGGACCTCTCCAAAAAGGAACCCTGATGGTGGTGCTTTTGGAGACCTCCACTTTGAGACAGGAGGAAAGGAAAGGGCGGAAAGGAAGGCAAGCAGGAAAGGGAGAGGTTTACTCATCCACATGTCCCTACCCTCTTTTGTTTTGTGGCACTAAAAGCCCATCATCTTCTCCATCCCAATCTCCAAAGCTCTTGGAGATGCACCTGGACCTCTCCAAAAAGGTACCCCTTTTGGCGGTGTTTGGGAGACCCCCACTTCAAGCTGGGAGGAAAGGAAGGCAAGAGGGAAAGGGAGAGGTTTACTCATCCACATATCCCTTTCCTCTTGTTTTTCCTCTCCACCCCAACCTCTCCAAAGCGGTACATCCTTGGAGACGTACCAGGACCTCTCCAAAGACCTCTCCTTTTCGTCTTGCCTTCCTTTCCTCCCAGCTCAAAGTGGGGGTCTCCAAAACAGCGCATTTGGAGACCCCCATTTCGAGCCAGGAGGAAAGGAAGGCAAGAAGGAAAGGGAGAGGATTGTTTTCCCAGGTTTCCTCCTTCCTGTTTTTGGTTTTGAAAGCCCATCCTCCTCTCTCTCCCAACCCCTCCAAAGCCCTTGGAGATGCACCAGGACCTCTCCAAAAAGGGACCCTCTTTGGCAGCGTTTTGGGGACCCCCACTTTGAGCTGGGAGGAAAGGAAGGCAAGAGGGAAAGGAGGAGATTTACTCATCCCCAGGTCTCTTCCCTCCTGGTTTTGGCATTGAAAGCCGATTGTCCTCTCCATTCCAACCTCTCCAAAGCGGTGCACCCTTGGAGATGCACCAGGACCTCTCCAAAGAGGGACCCCCTTTGGCGGTGCTTTTGGAGACTCCCACTTCGAGGAAAGGAGGAAAGGAAAGGAAGGCAAGAAGGAAAGGGAAAAGTTTACTCTTCCACACATTCGTTCCCTCATTTGTTTTTGGCGCTAGAAGCCCATCATCCTCTCCATCCCAACCTCTCTAACACGGTACGCTCTTGGAGACGCACCAGGACCTCTCCAAAAAGGGACCCCCTTCGACGGCGCTTTTGGAGACCCCCATTTTGAGCCGGAAGGCAGGTAGGGAGAGGTTTACTCATCCACATGATCCAGAATATGAACCTGGCATTTGAGAATGCTGTTGTGTTTGGGAGGACTTTGAACCCAGCTGGGACAGGAGCCTCGGGACAACCTGTCCTCCTTACAAACGCTGCTGTGGTGCGGTCCCCTCTTTGGAAACTCAGTGACCTTCCAGAATGGACTCTGTGAACTCGGAGAGTGAGGAAACCTGATACGCACAGACAGGCGGAGGGTTCAATAGGGTGGGCGAGACGCCATGGAAAACGCTTTGGTTGTGACTCTGCAGTTCCCCTTCCCTACAATTGAAATGCCTCATCGGGATGGAATTTGGGGGCTTGGTCATGGGAAGGTGTGCGCTTGTGTGTCCAGCCAAGAGACTGTTTTGTAGCACCCGTGGGACACTCAGGATGCGGTCCTGGGAGTTATAGTTTTCTCTGGTTGCATCTGCACTGGAGAATAAATGCCACCAGGACCCATTTTAAATGCCATTATTATTATTACTACTACTATTATTATTAGTATTCGTATTATGCCACATTTATATGCTGTGCAGTCCTGGGAGTTATAGTTTCCCAAGGTCCATACCATTCTCTTGCTGCCATTACACTAAGGAATGAATGCCCTTGCACCCCACATTAAATACCATGGCTCCATACTATGCAGTCCTGGTGGTTATAATTTCCCAAGGTCCATACCCTTCTCTTGGTGCATTTACACTATGGAATGAACGCCCATGGTCCCCACTTTAAATACCATTACTCCCTGCAATGGAGTCCTCCTGGGAGGTATAGTTTTCCAAGGTCCATACCATTCTCTTGCTGAATTTACACTATGGAATGAATGCCCTTGCACCCCACTTTAAATGCCATGGCTTCAGGTGATGGAGTCCTCCTGGGAGTTATAGTTTCCTAAGGTCCATACCCTTCTCTTGGTGCATTTACACTATGGAATGAACGCCCATGGTCCCCACTTTAAATACCATTACTCCCTGCAATGGAGTCCTCCTGGGAGGTATAGTTTTCCAAGGTCCATACCATTCTCTTGCTGAATTTACACTATGGAATGAATGCCCTTGCACCCCACTTTAAATGCCATGGCTTCAGGTGATGGAGTCCTCCTGGGAGTTATAGTTTCCTAAGGTCCATACCCTTCTCTTGGTGCATTTACACTATGGAATGAACGCCCATGGTCCCCACTTTAAATACCATGGCTCCCTGCAATGGAGTCCTCCTGGGAGTTAGTTTTCCAAGGTCCATACCATTCTCTTGGTGCATTTACACTGAAATGAATGCTCTTGGACCACACTTTAAGTACCATAGCTCCATACTATGTGGTCCTTGGAGTTTATAGGTCTACACCTTTCTCTGTGGGGCAGCTAAGAGGTGAGAGAGAGAGAGAGATAAAGATGCCCGACGTTAGAATGAGTCCTTCTCCATTTCAGCCCGTATCACATGCCTGTATGTTGTTTTTCTCTCTAGGCAGAGCAGCGTGTGCCATTTTTCCTGACGAAAACCCAGCCAAGATGTGGATGGTTTCGCCCCCCTCCGGTGAGTCCTGAGAATGAGCCAGCGTCCCTCTTTTTGGCCTCTTTCTCTCTCCCTCGCTTTCTTGACGTAGGAACGGGCGGAATAATAAATCCCCGTTTCCCTTTTCTCTGCTGAAGCTTGAGAACCAGAGAGGAGGGATCCATGCCTTCACAGTTGGCCAATCGGTATAGTCGAGGAAACCCTCCCATTGCACGAAAGGGATGCTGCGTAATTCCAGTCCATGCCAAAGAGTTATTTGATGCCAAAACATGAGCATTATGGCTTGTAGATGCTGCAGGAGCTGGGCATAGGAGACCACAAACACACACACGCCGCAGATAGGTGTCACGAAATGTTGTCTCAGCAAACAGCAGGGTCAGGAGGTGACGATCCAATGGAGACGGATGAGTCCAAAGGTTGTACCAGACCGTATCAGTTTCCGAAATAGTCTCCTCCTGCAAATGTCATCATAATTTATCCCCAAGAAGAATAAAAAGAAGGCAAGACTGTTACCCTTTGACACAGGGAGAGAATTTGGGTTGGAGTTCCCATTTGAGATCCCCTCCCAGCTTGGTTCACTCCATGACATCGGTCTCTGCCTTCCGCAGTTGCAAAGGGGTATCAGACTGTACCAGATTTATAGTCGTGGACGGAACACCTGGGATGGGAGCTGTGTAGTCTTCCAGATGCATGTGGACTGCCTATCCCAATGTCTTAAACCCTTGGTTATGCTGGCAAGAGCTTTTTGTTTTCTTGAGAAACTGCAAGTCACTTCTGGTGTGAGAGAATGGGCCGTCTGCAAGGACGTTGCCCAGGGGACACCTGGATGTTTTGCCATCCTTGCGGGAGGCTTCTCTCATGTCCCCGCATGAAAAGCTGGAGCTGACAGAGGGGAGCTCATCCCGCTCCTTGGATTCAAACCACTGACCTTTCGGTCAGCAATCCTACCGGCACAATGGTTTAACCCATTGTGTTGGCAAGGGTTGATGGGAGTTGTAGTCTCACAATGGCCAGAGAGGAGACCAGGCTTCTCTCATGTCCCTGCACGGGAAGCTGGAGCTGACAGATGACAGCTCACCCCGCTCCTTGAATTCAAACCGCTGACCTTTCAGTCAGCAGTCCTGCCGGCACAATGGCTTAACCTATTGTGCCACCGGGGCTCCTGCTAGCAAGGGCTGATGGGAGTTGTAGTCCCACAATGGCCAGAGAGAGGACCAGGCTTCTCTTATGTCCCTGCAAGACAGACGGGAGCTCACCCCACTCCCTGGATTTGAACCACCAACCTTTCAGTCAGCAGTCCTGCCGGCACAATGGCTTAACCTATTGTGCCACTGAGGCTCCTGCTGGCAAGGGCTGATGGGAGTTGTAGTCCCACAATGGCCAGAGAGGGGACCAGGCTTCTCTTATGTCCCTGCATGACAGACGGGAGCTCACCCCTCTCCCTGGATTTGAACCACCAACCTTTCGGTCAGCAGTCCTGCCGGCACAATGGCTTAACCTATTGTGCCACCGGGGCTCCTGCTGGCAAGGGCTGATGGGAGTTGTAGTCCCACAATGGCCAGAGAGAGGACCAGGCTTCTTTTATGTCCCTGCATGACAGACGGGAGCTCACCCCACTCCCTGGATTCGAACCACCAACCTTTTGGTCAGCAGTCCTGCCAGCACAATAGCTTAACCCATTGCGCCACTGGGGCTCCTGCTGGCAAGGGCTGATTGGAGTTGTAGTCTCATGGTGGCCAGAGAGAGGATTACTGGAGTCCCAAAAAATCCTGATTTAGGGGAAGCCACAAGAGCAGGTCTCTGTTCTCTCCCTGTATCTTCCCTCGACAACGAGGCTGAGACAGAATAGTCTAAAGGCACCCATTGGGTTTCATAGCTTGGGAATACAAACCGGCTCTCTAAACCTCTATCCAGCATTCCTTCCCAGTTTTGCCAGTGCCGGGTCAATGAGGCAGGATCTGGTCTGGGTATTAGTCTGAACTTTAAAGCTTATGGAAAGGGTTTGGGCTCCTTGCACAATGCAGATTCTCATGGGAACCACGATCCAGCGTTGTCTCCGCACTGTACCACATTGCTGCACATGACAGCAATGAGCACAAAAATACAGGAATAGTTGACGTGTTCCGAAAAGCAAAGTCCACCAGTGCTTTCCTATGATGGAAATGCCACTTTTGAGCCTATCAAATTGGAACCCCTCCTCCTCAACGCAAGGATATAATGATGTCAACTGAGGCCACCCATCTGCGAAAGGCTCCCTCTCCTCTCTGGTTTCTGGCGAATTGTGTTTCCAAATTGTAATTCTGGGGTTGATTGCCGAGGGCTCAGAAACTCCAATCCGGGCGGATTAGGATGACAACACTTGGGATGATTTCTCTTTCTTGGGACAGGAAAGATCATTGGATGTGCTTAACTTCCATCGAATCCCACGTACTAAAACTTGCAAAGGTTGGCGTTCGGGGTGGTTTGCTTGTGTCAACGCACAATTCTTGTGTGTGTGTGTGTGTGTATATAGTTAAATTTAACAGCATGTGTGTGCATTTTTGACTTCTGGATGGCTCCTGCTCATTATGGAGAAGGAGAGAAGTTTGGATTGATGGATTTTCCTGATTTACAAGGGCTTCTCTTCCTCTCAAGGGAGGATTTGGAAAAGAAAACACACTGATAAGGGAGGGGAAGAGGAGAGAGAAATAAATCATATATTGCAAGTAATGGCCTCCAGGCTCTGCTGCCCTGCCTTTGCCCAATTGTAAGCCAACTCAATGAATATTCATGACTTACAAGGGCTCCTCTCCCTTTCAAGGAAGGATTTGGAAAAGAAAACACACTGATAAGGGAGGGGAAGAGGAGAGAGAGAAATAAATCATATATTGCAAGCAATGCCCTCCAGGCTCTGCTGCCCGGCCCACTCGCTGAATATTCCTGACTTACAAGGGCTTCTCTTCCTCTCAAGGAAGGATTTGGAAAAGAAAACACACTGATAAGGAAGGGGAAGAGGACAGAAAAACAAATCGTATATTGCAAGCAATGCCCTCCAGGCTCCTCTGCCTGGCCTTGATCCCATCGTAAGCCAACTCAATGAATATTCCTGACTTACAAGGGCTTCTCTTCCTCTCAAGGGAGGATTTGGAAAAGAAAACACACTGATAAGGGAGGGGAAGAGGAGAGAGAAATAAATCATATATTTCAAGCAATGCCCTCCAGGCTCCGCTGCCCGGCCTTGACCCCACTCGATGAATATTCCTGACTTACAAGAGCTTCTCTTCCTCTCAAGGAAGGATTTGGAAAAGAAAACACACTGATAAGGGAGTGGAAGAGGAGAAATAAATCATATATTGCAAGCAGTGGCCTCCAGGCTCCACTGCCCAGCCTTGACCCCATTGTAAGCCAACTCAATGAATATTCCTGACTTACAAGGGCTTCTCTCCCTCTCAAGGAAGGATTTGGAAAAGAAAACACACTGATAAGGGAGGGGAAGAGGAGAGAGAAATAAATCATATATTTCAAGCAATGCCCTCCAGGCTCCGCTGGCCGGCCTTGACCCCACTCGATGAATATTCCGGACTTACAAGAGCTTCTCTTCCTCTCAAGGAAGGATTTGGAAAAGAAAACACACTGATAAGGGAGGGGAAGAGGAGAAATAAATCATATATTGCAAGCAGTGGCCTCCAGGCTCCACTGCCCAGCCTTGACCCCATTGTAAGCCAACTCGATGAATATTCCTGACTTACAAGGGCTTCTCTCCCTCTCAAGGAAGGATTTGGAAAAGAAAACACACTGATAAGGGAGGGGAAGAGGAGAGAGAAATAAATCATATATTGCAAGCAGTGGCCTCCAGGCTCTGCTGCCCAGCCTTGACCCCATTGTAAGCCAACTCTAGTATATGGTAAATTATAAACATTCCTGATGGTTGTTTCCCTGCTTTGCATTTTAGGGGAGGCATTTAAGGAGAACGGAATCCATTCATTTATAGCCATCCCTTCCCAAATCAATGATTCAAAGTATATAACTGGCAGTCCCTGACTGGTATCTCTCATCTCCCACACAATTCCCCACAGAGCCATTCTGTTTCAGATGGTAATCAGTACTTGTTATAGGGAGGTTATAGGGTTGTTATAGGGTTTAGGGCGGTTCAAAACACCCCCTATCTGTCTGACTACTCCAGTCTTCAAGGGCTGCCCCATGTTTGAGTGCGTTGTAGTCTAGTTTCAAGGAAAATGGAAGCCACATCAGGGTTTGGAGGAGGTTCCTTTGGGTTTCAGCTAGAGCTATTAGGAATTGTGGGAGTTGAAGTCCAAAGCCAAAGTTTGCCCATGCCTGTTCTATCTCAAAACCAACCAGTGGGTTTCTATTGCTGAGTGGAATTCAAACCATGACCTTAGTCCAGTGATTCCCAACCTGTGTTCCATGGACCACCAATGGTACACAAGAATGAAAATATGGTCCACGGCCTCACCATTATTACACCATTGCCTCGAAACCACTCAGCAATGAGTGACTAGTCTTGCAAAACCCTCTTATAGTGCCAAGGCAACAGGAATGCTGGGAAGGGAGAGGCTGACTACCCATGAAATATTACTACAACTACATCAGCTCTAATTATTAAATATGGTTTTCTATGGGTGAGTAGATGGTGACTACTGGATGGCATATGTTCTGTATCAGAAACTAGAGCTGATATGGTCTATCCAATGCATTTTCTGAATTAGCTGGTGTGGTCTATAAAATGCATTTTCTGAATTAGCTAATGTGGTCTATCCAATGCATTTTCTAAATCAGCTGATGTGGTCTATCCAATGCATTTTCTGAATCAGCTGATGTGGTTTATCCAATGCATTTTCTGAATTAGCTGATGTGGTTTATCCAATGCACTTTTCTGAATCAGCTAATGTGGTCTATCCAATGCACTTTTCTGAATCAGCTGTGATCTATCTAATGCAGTTTTCTGAATCAGCTAATGTGGTCTATCCAATGCATTTTCTGAATTAGCTGATGTGGTCTATTCAATGCACTTTTCTGAATAAGCTGATGTGGTCTATCAGATGCAATTTTCCGAATCAGCTGATGTGATCTTTCCAATGCATTTTTCAGAATTGGCTAATGTGGTCTATCCAATGCATTTTCTGAATTAGCTGATGTAGTTTATCCAATGCACTTTTCTGAAGCAGCTAATGTGGTCTATCCAGTGCATTTTTTGAATTAGCTGATGTGGTCTATCAGATGCAATTTTCTGACTCAGCTGATGTGGTCTATCCAATGCAGTTTTCTGAATCAGCACCCCAAATAACCAAACTGAATCTAAAGTTGACCAAAAACCGATTCGTAACCCTTTTGGTACTAATGTTGAAGAGTGGTCCCTGATCAAAAAAAGGTTGGGAACCAATGAGCTAGAAAAATGGGACCACATAAAGAGTTGGAGGGCCCCCAAGGACCTTCTAGTCCAACTGCAATGGAATGATCCTCAACGAAGGAGAACCAACCACCCCCTTTATGGGTGCCATAATGGGAATTGGCCAATCCGCCAGAAGTAGTTACACAATAAACACCTTAATCCTCATTGTGAGTGATAATAGGAACAACAATCCAAACTTTGGAATTTTTACGATCCTTAAACTCCGGCACAAAAATAGTTTTATGGCTTATTTCTTCCTTGTGCGCTTGCAACACCACGTACCGAAATGGCGAGACATTTCCTCCCACTTGCTTATCTCAAGATATGGATCTTTTTGATAGGCAGAACAAGATGTCTCAAGTCTCAGCAATGATCTAGGATCTGCAGAAGAGATAAGTGACCCTTTGAGAGTTCGGAAGGGTTCATGATGTAGATTATGGCCAGCGAAATGGATTAAGCCAACTGTTGACCCTTCAAATCTGGAAATGTGTGGGGAAATTGTGGGGGCAGCCCTCCTCAAGACAGAGATAACGCTAACAAGGCTGGCTATTATCTTAATTGTGCAGGAAGGACTTTGCCTTGCCGTTTCTTTTCTCTCTGAGTATTTTTCCACTTCAGAACTAATGTTTAACTTTTGGGGGATGAGGAGTTTCGGGGAAGAAGGGATAAGATGGGCCCATTGTCCTAAAGTTTAAACTCACCAAACTTCTTAGTTTGATAACAAATCACCACCCAGAAAAAACAACAACACTGTCCCCGTCTGCTTTTGCTCCTGTTCTGGTGTCATCTCTGTGTGTTTTGCAAGATACCTTTACCAACCCCTTCTAACACTGTTGGCAAATGTGTTGTTGAAGGCTTTCATGGCCAGAATCACTGGGTTGCTGTGAGTTTTCCAGACTGTATGGCCATGTTCCAGAAGCATTCTCTCCTGACGTTTTGCCCACATCTATGGCAGGCAGGAACATAGCCAGAAAACAAAATCAGGGGAGGGGTGGGTTTGAAACTTTTCCTTAGTGCAGTGTTTCTCAACCTTCCTAATGCCGTGACCCCTTAATACAGTTCCTTATGTTGTGGTGACCCCCAACCATAACATTCTTTTGCTACTTCATAACTGTAATTTTGCTCCTGTTATGAAACTTAATTTGGGAGTTGTAGTTGTTGGGATTTATGGTTCACCTACAATCAAAGAATATTCTGAACTCCACCAACCAAACTTGGCACACAGAATGCCCACGACCAACAGAAAACACTGGAAGGGTTTGGTGGGCATTGACCTTGAGTTTGGGAGTTGTAGTTCACCTACAGAGAGCACTATGGACTCAAACAATTATGGATCTGGACCAAACTTGGCACGAATACTCAGTATGCTAAATGTGAACACTGGTGGAGTGTGGGGAAAATAGGCCTTGACATTTGGGAGTTGTAGTTGCTGGGATTTATAGTTCACCTACAATCTATGAGCATTCTGAACCCCACCAATGATAGAATTGGGCCAAACCTCCCACACAGAACCCCCATGATCAACAGAAAATACTGTTTTCTGATGGTCTTTGGTGACCCCTCTGGCACCTCCTGGCGGCCCCTCCAGGGGTCCCGACCCCCAGGTTGAGAAACACTGCCTTAGTGAATCATGAAGAGTAGTTCCATAATGCAAAATACCGTATATACTCGAGTATAAGCTGACCCGAATATAAGCCGAGGCACCTAATTTTACCAAAAAACCCTGGAAAAACGTTTTGACTCGAGTATAAGCCGAGGGTGAGAAATGTAGCTGCTACTGGTAATCATCAGGAGGTTAAATGTTTTTGAGTATTTACATAAAACTGTAATTTAAGATATATTTTTTTATCGTCAGGAGCGACTTGAGAAACTGCAAGTCGCTTCTGGTATGAAAGAATTGTTTGTCTGCAAGGACGTTGCCCAGGGGACGCCAGGATGATTTGATGTTTTTATCATCCTTGTGGGAGGCTTCTCTCATGTCCCCGCATGAGGAGCTGGAGCTGATAGAGGGAGCTCATCCGCCTCTCCCCGGATTCGAACCTGCGACCTGTCGGTCTTCAGTCCTGCCGGCACAGGGGTTTAACCCACTGCGCCACCAGGGCAGTGATAAGACTGCCCAACTCTGATTCAACCATTATTCTAACCTCCTTCAGTGTAAATGTGCTTACCTATTACCTTTAATGATAGAATAAAATAATAAATGTAGTAACATGTAATAAAAATAATAATAAAGTAAAAAATGGAAATTTAATTGAATAACAATAGTAGTAATAATAAAGTAACAAATGTAATAACAATAATAGAGTAAAATAATAAATGTAATAAATATAATAATACAGTAAAATAATGTAAATGTAATAAAAGTAATAATAGAGTAAAATAATGTAAATGTAATAACAATAATAGAGTAAAATAATAAATGTAATAAATATAATAATACAGAAAAATAATGTAAATGTAATAAAAGTAATAATAGAGTAAAATAATGTAAATGTAATAATAATAATAGAGTAAAATAATAGATGTAATAAATATAATAATAGAGTAAAATAATAAATGTAATAAATATAATAATAGAGTAATAGAAACCAATGCCCTCACTGCGGGAGAAGATGCAGATCAAGAATTGGGCTCCACAGTCACCTACGGACCCACCGACAGAATATCAACCTTTGAGGACCATCATCCTCAGACTATGAGGGATCGCCTAAGTAAACCTCACTTGCCTAGTTTCCAACAGACAGACCTCGCAACCTCTGAGGATGCCGGACATAGATGTGGGCAAAATGTCAGGAGAGAATGCTCCTGGACCGTAGCCATACAGTCTGGAAAACTCACAGCAACCCACTGTTGACACACATTGTGGCTGGCTGTAAAGCAATGTAGGGTTTCAAGGGGCAAAACCCATTGAAAGTTAACTATTAGCTTCAATCAGAGAGAGGAAAAAGAGGGGAGCTTGGGAGGGCTGGGGGGGGGGGGGGGGGGGGGGGGGGGGGGGCGGCGCTTTTTCTAAATGGTTCGTCCTCGCAGGGAGAATGTGACGGGGGAAATGGGCCAAAGGAACAGGTTTCATGTTGGAGAGGGATGGGGTTTTGGTTTGAATTTCACTGCCTTTCCTTTGTAGAGGGGGGAATACCTATTCTGTCCCTCTTCCCGGATATTGTTTTGCTCTGATTTCCTGTTTTCTTTCAGATGAAGAATCTCAGGACCTTTCCGGGATTCGGAAAGACGACCAGGGCAGGGTGCTAAACATACTAGTAGGATATGTCCCTTCTCCTCTAAAAAGAATAGTTCTGTTGGGGGTGACAGACAATAAGAGAGGCGTAGGCTTAACCGAGGGGTTTTGTAATGTCTTTGCAAGCAGAGTGGGGTGGGTCGTAGTTAACTAAGCCTTAGACCGGGTGGTAAGAGGTAGAGGTGGGAGTGTAGAAGCATCGCTATCGGATGCTTTCTGTAAGACATAAACAGGAAAGGGTTGGTCACGGAACAGAACCGGAGGGGTGGGATAAGTGGGAATGAATGGGGGAAGAGGTGCATTTGCTAGCGAGGCTGTCCGTTGCATGTCGCTTCCGCCCTTTGCAAGAAAAATTTCCAAGCTTCCATGCTCCCAATGCTATGGGTCGGCTCAAAGCCGGCTCATTGAGGGAACATCTATTCCATCTCCTGGGAACGGTCCTTCCAAATATGCCTTCTCCTCTCCTGGAAAAATTTCCAAGCCAAAGTGCCCCAAAACATAAATTTGGATAATGCTACAAGGCAAGCAAATACGTCTGCAAGGTCCAGAAACCCAGGAGATGGGATTGGCCAGGGTTTGCAAAGGTTATTTGTGGGGTATACAGTAGAGTCTCGCTTATCTGACCTTCGCATATGCGACATTCCGTCTTATCCGATGCACTTATCCAATGCCATCCTCCTCTTCCAGCATTTCCCTTTCAATTCAAGGAGTGCTCCCCAACTCCATTCCCAGTAGAGTCTCACTTATCCGACCTTCGCTTATGCAACCTTCCATCTTATACGATGCCCCCCATTTTCCTCCAGCAATTCCCTTTCAATGAAAGGAGTGCTCCCCAACTCTCTCTCCATTCCCAGTAGAGTCTCGCTTATCTGACTTTCCCTCTTATCCGATGCCCCCTTTTCCTCCAGCATTTCCCCTTCAATGAAAGGAGTGCTCCCCGACTCTCTCTCCATTCCCAGTAGTGTCTCACTTACCCGATCTTCGCTTATCTGACTTTCCCTCTTATCCGATGCCCCCTTTTCCTCCAGCATTTCCCCTTCAATGAAAGGAGTGCTCCCCGACTCTCTCTCCATTCCCAGTAGTGTCTCACTTATCCGATCTTCGCTTATCTGACTTTCCCTCTTATCCGATGCCCCCTTTTCCTCCAGCATTTCAATGAAAGGAGTGCTCCCCGACTCTCTCTCCATTCCCAGTAGGTGTCACTTATCCAACTTTCGCTTATCCGACCTTCCATCTTATCCGATGCCCCCCCCCCTTTTCCTCCAGCATTTCCCCTCCAATTAAAGGAGCGCTCCCCAACTCTCTCATTCCCAGTAAGTGAAAAGGGCAAGACAAAGAGGAGGGAGGAAAGCGGGAAAAGAGGCAGGACCGGAAGCGGAAGCGTCCTCCCTCCTTCCGTGATTTCCACATTCCTCTTCCACATCATCTGGGCACTTCCTCCTGGGCCACTCCAGCCCCAAGGCATTGCCTTGCCTTCACCCTTTGAGTCCCCATTGTTAGTATTCTAGATATCGGATGGGTAACAGGAGAATCCGTATTATCCGACATTTCCATTTATCCAACATTCTGTTTGTCGGATAAGCAAGACTCTACTATATATATGTTCTTAAGAAGCGTAAGAATATGAATGCATGCAGAACCTCACCGGGTCATTCCCCCAAACACTAAACAAAGCGGAGACTTGTAAAAGAGCTTGGAAAAAAATAGTTTTTAGCAGACTACAAATGTTCAACAGTTATCGGAGTGGTAGTCTTGCCCAAGCTCTGTGAGAGACACCTAATTCACTCATCTGGCGATGGAAGAAGAATCTCCCTCTTTCTCTTTTTCGGGCCTTTTTGGGCTAAATCAAAGGCTGCCTTTTGGATCTTCGGCGGCAGATTTTAAAGAAGAGCAGCTTTGTCTCTGTCCTTAAAAAGCTCTCATTTTGCTGAGACAGGCTGCCAACTATACTCCATACACCTGCTTTTTCCCCCCATCTGGTTTCATTAAAGCCGTCCCGTTAACGGGGAAGGAATTAACACCGCCTCCCCGTGCGAGTCTGGCCACCTTCTGCTTGGGAATGCTCTGCCGGGTGGTGCTAGGTTTCCTTCTCATGCCCTTGCCTTTCAATCCCAGGTCTTTTCCACTACACCAAGAAGCTCTTCCTGAGCGAACAGGCTGGCCGGGCGCAAGCTGTAGAGTTCATGCGCAAGAATGTGGCCAACTTCCTCTCCATAGCGAACCTCGTGGTCGGCCTCTCCTCCGTCCTCTGCAGCCTCAACGGGTAAGCCATCCTGGGATTTGTGGTTGGGGAAGGGACCCAGAACCAGGGCCTTTTTGGTGGTTGCCCTCATTCTGGGAACACTCTCTTTTGTGGCCCTTCCTTCTGCTAGCGATACGCTCTTGAGAACTGAAGAGATGTATTTATTTAGGAGGGAGAGAAATGCCTTTTAAGAGACTGGTAGTCTTTGTCAATTGCCTTTTCCCTGAGATACACTCGTTTTTCTTTTGCTTTGCCATTTTGACGACATCGTAGTATGGTTGCCTTTTGTCACTTCTGTGTTGTGATAGTACTTTTCAGGACTGGGAAAGAACTGCCCACGGCACAGTGTTTTCATTGTGCTTTTTGAACTTGGTATCGAAATGCACGAACAGCTACAAAGTGTTTTCATCACATAATTGTGTATTGTTTTGAATGTTTTAAAAATGTTGCTAGTGTTTAATTCTATTTTGACACTTTGGGAGGTTTTAATAACACTGTATTTCTTTTTCGAAACAACGTTGTATACATACATATGACTTCATGAGGTTCCACTTTTCAACCCTACCATCTAAATGACCTTCTGAGTTTCTATATTTCAACTCCACCATCTAAATGACCTTCTGAGTCCACCGTCTACGTCTTCCATCTAAATGACCTCCCGAGTTTCTACCATCCAGATCGACAATCCCAATGACCTCAGGTCCCACCTTCCAAGTCTACCATCTAAATTTCCTTATGAGTTTCTGCCTTCAACTCTACCATCTAAATGATTGTATTAGTTTCCACCTCTCAACTCTACCATCTCAACTCTACCAACTCTACCATCTTCCAACTTCACCATCTAAATGACCTAAGATCCCACCTTCTAAATCTTCCATCTAAATGACCTCCGAAGTTTCTACTATCCAGATCTAAATGACCTCCTGAGGTCCCACCTTCCAAGTCTACCATCTACATTTCCTTATGAGTTTCTGTCTTCAACTAAATGATTGTATCAGTTTCCACCTCCCTTCTAAATGATTGTATTAGTTTCCACCTCTCAACTCTACCATCTCAATGACCTTATGAGTTTCTACCTTCCAACTCTACCATCTAAATGACCTCCTGGGGTCCCACCTTCTAAGTCTACCATCTAAATGACATTATGAGCTTCTACCTTCAACTCTACCATCTAAATGACCTGAGTTTCTACCATCCAGATCTACTATTTAAATGACAACTTCCTGCGGTCTGCTTCCAATCCTACCAACTAAATGACTTCCTGAGGTCCCACCTTCCAAGTCTACCATCTAAATTTCCTTATGGGTTTCTACCTTCAACTCTACCATCTAAACGACTGTATCAGTCTACCATTTAAATGATCTCCTGAGTTTCTACCATCCAGATCGACCATCTAAATGATGACTTCCTGAGGTCTCAGCTTCCAATCCTACCAACTAAATGACCTCCTCGGGTCCCACCTTCCAAGACTACAATCTAAATTTCCTTATGAGTTTCTACCTTCAACTCTACCATCTAAATGACTGTATCAGTTTCCACCTCTCAAGTCTACCATCTAAATGACATTATGAGTTTCTACCTTCCAACTCCACCATCTAAATGACCTCCTGAGGTCCCACCTACCAAGTCTACTATCTAAATGACATTATGAGTTTCTACCTTCCAACTCCACCATCTAAATGACCTCCTCGGGTCCCACCTTCCAAGACTACAATCTAAATTTCCTTATGAGTTTCTACCTTCAACTCTACCATCTAAATGACTGTATCAGTTTCCACCTCTCAAGTCTACCATCTAAATGACATTATGAGTTTCTACCTTCCAACTCCACCATCTAAATGACCTCCTGAGGTCCCACCTACCAAGTCTACTATCTAAATGACATTATGAGTTTCTACCTTCCAACTCCACCATCGAAATGACCTCCTGAGATCCCACCTACCAAGTCTACTATCTAAATGACATTATGAGTTTCTACCTTCCAACTCCACCATCTAAATGACCTCCTGAGGTCCCACCTACCAAGTCTACTATCTAAATGACATTATGAGTTTCTACCTTCCAACTCCACCATCTAAATGACCTCCTGAGGTCCCACCTACCAAGTCTACTATCTAAATGACATTATGAGTTTCTACCTTCCAACTCCACCATCTAAATGACCTCCTGAGGTCCCACCTACCAAGTCTACCATCTAAATGACCATATAACTGCAAGAGCAACAGCTCATACTGATCTATCTTCTCTCTCTTTCCTCTTTTCCCAGCCATTACCATTATGCCTGCTGGTTGATCCTCTCCGGATTCTTGTTGGATCTTGCAGATGGAGCTGTGGCCAGACAGCTCAATGCTTGCTCCGCTCTGGGTGAGTCCCATTATAATATTTATTTATAATATTTATTAATATCTCACTTTTCTCCCATGAAGGGACCCAAAACGGCTGCCAACATATTAAATACAGTACAAAACAACAGCAATTAAAACACATATATAAACATCTGAAATAATCAGTAAACACAAAACATTGAAATGGTTATCATTGCATGACTTCAAGTAGACCCAGAGGGAGCCTACTATGGGGCCTTTTCCAGGGCTGAATCCATCCCTTGATGAATTTCCATATCCAAGTGGGCATTTGAACTGAAGAGATGGAGCCGTAGTCCAAAGCTCATGGGTTGAATGTACACCCTGGGGGTTCTGGGAGATATTGTCAAATTGTTCTCAAGTGTCTCAGACTGGCATTTCTTGATAGGGGCCAAGCTGGACGACTTTGCTGACTTCACCTCCTTCGGTCTGGCCACTGGTTTGCTCCTCCAGGCCCGGGGTATCCTGGATGGGCTGCTGGTCATTGTCTACGTCTTGGCCGTCTTCACCCGCCTCTGCTTCTTCTCCAGTGGTGAGTCCCTGGCTGTGGCTGGACCAGAATGTGAACCCTGGTCCCCAAAGCCTTGCTCCAACACTCCATCCCAAAGTCTCCTCGCTTCTGTTGTCTCCTTGGATTCCCATTCTTCTCCTTCATCCTCTCCTGGTTTTCTTCTTCTTCTGCCCCAGGTGTGCCCTTCATGTACCGCGGCCTGCCTTGCCCCTACGGTGCCTCCGTCCTGGCGGCCACCTACCTCCTGACTGGGGGCAACCTGCTGGTCCTGCGCATTGTGGCCATGGTCATGATGCTCTTCATGGTGGACCAGGGGTTCTACCCTCACGACAAGGTCCTGGAGTCCCAGCCCTGGAAGAAGGCCGTCTACGCAGGGGGTGAGTGCCAACCAAGGAGGACTCAACCTTGCAATCTCTTTTTTTGTGGTACAATGAACCATTTAGGGTCGCAAAACATATATACAGGCCGTCCCTGAGTTACAAACTACTCGTAGTTACGAACGGGCGAGACAACATGAAGTAAGAGAAATCTTCCCCTCGGAAGGGAAATCCACTCCTGGAAGAGTTATTATTGTGGGGAAAAGGGGTCTCCACTGATGCTTTATCCCCAATCCTCATTTCCACTTATACGTATATAGAGTCTGTCTCTCCAAGGGGACTCAGGGCAGATTACAGAACACATATATGGCAAACATTCAATGCCATTATACAATTGACAAGGACAGACAATACATAAACAGAGGCAAAGGCTTTCCCACCTTTTTCCATCTCCGGCATCTGGAGGCTGTGCTTGACTCCGGCCACTGGGAGGTGCTGTCAATCCACCTTCCATGCCAAGGAGCTTTGTTGTCTGTAGATGCTCTCCCGATGGAATCATCAGCACATCCTTATGGGCGCCTTTTATCATCTCCCCACTTAAAGTGGTACCTATTTATCTACTCACATTGCTGTTTTTGATCTGCTAGGTGAGAAGCTGGGCTGATGGCCCGGAGCTCACTCCGACCCGGGCTTGAATGGTCAACCTTTCGATTGGCAAGGTTTTCTGCAGCTGCCGGTTAATCCGCTGTGCTTAAGCCCGGCCCCAAGCCATTTTTTTTCTAAATTGAATTCTCAGGGACAGAAAGTGAGGTGTTTTGAATGGGTGGTGATGGAGCGCAAGCTGGAAGAAAGTACCCACTGGGCCTGTGCCTGAGATTCCATTGTAGATTTTTCTGGTTGTCTTCTATATAAACTAATTTTTTTAATCTTCTCAACAAGACCACAGATAGTATAGGAAACACCACAGGGATGTTCACCCTTTCTTATCTATCTATAGACACACACACACACATGTACATGTCTCTTGTTCGTAACTTGTGGATTTGCCTGTACCGTGTTAGGTTTGGAAAGGCCTGGAAGACATATAATCATTTCCACAGGCTTCCTCCAAAACTGAGGTGGAGTGTGGTTTGCCCAGGGTCATCCAATGGACGGAAGGGATTCAAACCTTGAGTCTAACATTCCTGCCACTCTTCCTTAAAAAGGCTTTCCTTGGTCAGATTGATTCAGAAGTTTGCCATGGCTTTCTTCCATGAGTGATAGTTTGTGTGTCTATCCCAGGCATGGCCAAACTTCCAGGTGTTTTGGACTTCAACAGCTGTTAGTTTGCCCATGCCTGGTCAAACCCAAAGCCAACCAGTGGGTTTCCATTCCTGAGTGGGATTCAAACCCTGGCCTTAGTGCAACATTCCTGCCACTACGTCTTAAAAGGCTTTCCTTGGCTAGATTTACCCAGAGGTTTGCCATGGTCCTCTTCCAAGACCGAGAGAGAATATGGCTTGTCTGAAGCCATTCAGTGACTTCCATGTTGGAGTGGGATTCAGACCCAAGATCTAATCTAAAATGGGCTTTCTTTGTCAAAGTACTCCCTTTAAAACCTTTTTGCATGGGATGATGGGAACTGTTGTGCAGTAGAACTCGGGTGTGCCTTCCTTCAAGACCTCTCTCCCCCTTTGTCCCTTGGCAGGTGTCTTGATGGTCCTCTTTTCGGCCTCCTCCTTGGCCTCCCTTTACTACCTGGTGTGGTCCACCTCGTACATCATCTTCCCTTCAGCCTTGTGGAGTTACAAAGTCTAACCTCTCTCGAAGGAGGAGCAAAAGAACAAGGACTCGAATACCCATCATGCGCCGCTGTTCCGAAAAGCAACCAACGCAAGGGACCAAACGAGTGGCCGTTAACACCTCCGCTGTTGCCTAAAACCGTACTAATGCTTTCCATCCTTCAGACCGTGACGGTGGTGCCGGGTGTGTGTGTGTATTGCTTTTTCACACATCCTGCAATATTCGTTCTCCATCTATTCGTCCCTCGAGGAGCCCAGCGGCTGGCTTTGACACTCCCGGCCTCATTGTTCGATGTAGATAAAACATGTACAGAAATCTTTATATCTAGAGAGACTTGTATAAAAATATGCTGTATAGATCCGAAGAGGAGGAAAATCCAATTTTAGATTTTTACTCTTTTAAAATTTTTTTTCCAGATTGACATGTGGGGCAGGTGGTTAATTCTACAGAAAGGATGCAGCATGAGTTCTCTCTCTCCTGACAGTTTATTGGGGCAGATTCTTGACATCTTTCTGCAGTTTGGCTCTGAAAGTTTGATAGTCACACACAATTTCTGTTGAGAAATGCTGGCCGAGAATAGGATGACGATGCAGGACTTTGTGGGACCAAAAAAGACATCGCCTTCAGGGTGGAGAATTTGTTCTGGGTCTCAAGACCTTAACCGGAGTCTCCATCCATCCCAAACACACGACATGCGCAAAATTGTTGTGCGTGTTGCTTTGTAGATTGTGTCATGTGTGGCTTCAGTCTTTGGAGGTCTTCTCACTTCCTGTGGTCCCTCCAAGTGCTGGTAAAGGAAGAGTCAAACACTTTGTGGGTACGATTTCGAGCAACCTTGGCATTACAGCCGTCCAAACTGACCGCTTAGGTAGTCCATCTTCGGAGGTCTCCTCACTTCCTGTGGTCCTTCCAAGTGTTGGTCAAGCTGGCTGTCAGACTGTAGGATCTATATAGCAATATTAAATAACCACTCACAAGCCGTTTTGCTTTGAAATGGATATATTGCTTGTATCTCTGCAGCAAAGAAAGACTCTACTGACTTTTTCCCACCACCACTTTCTTTTATACACCTTTCCTGCCCATCTCCCTCTCCTCTCAGTTTCCTTATTAGAACTTGTTGCTTCACAAGTTCCAATACAAGGTTTCCAGTGCCCTCTCCTGGCTTCAAAATGTCACAGAGACAGAATTGATTCAGCCAGGATGATTCAGTCAGGATGTCATGGAGGGAATTTGTGATGTCTTCATGCCTTCAGAAATTGACTCCTGACAACAGCAAAGGAAGTCAGACACTTTGTGGGTACGACTTCAAGCATTATGAGCCGTCCAGTTTACCGCTTTGGTAGTCCCTTTAAACTATGAAGTGTGTATGAGGTGGGTTTTCCATCCCGGAATAATGTTTATTACTGGATCAAGCCCTAATTTGCTTGTTTTTAACACAGAGAGAGTCCAAACTCTCATGTCAGGGAATACAGTTGGTTTTATTTGGTTTACCAGTGACGATAGTGAAATAATATCTTTTTCCTCCTGTCGCTGTTTGCAAATGCTATTATTGTTCTGCCTATAGTTGTATGACAGGTACGGAGAGGAACATATACTGTGTCTTGTTCGAACAAGGATACTTGAAATTAATGCTCTTGTGTTTTGGGAAATAAAGTTTTAAAACTGACAAGAAAATGTTTTGGGGTTTTTTTTATAAAAAGGGGTATTTAGGACATATAAATAGATGAACATTAAGATTTCACTGAAATGAAGCTTAGAAGTTTGTTATGTTGGGCAAGTTTGGTCTAGCTGCATCATGGGTGGGATTCAGTGTACTCTCTGGCTGTAGGGTAAACTACAACTCCCACTATGCTGAGTCAGTCCCCTCCAACCTCTCCATGGGGGTTCTGTGAGCCATGTTTGTTCAGGCCCATCATCGGTGGAGGTCATAATTTCTCTGGTTGTGAGCGAACTACAACTCCCAGAAAAAAGGCCAGTCACCCCCCCCCCCCCCCAATCAAATTCTGGCATATCAGGTCTGTGTGCCAGGTTTGGTCCAAATCCATGTGTTTGGGTTCACAGTGCTCTCTGAATGTAGGTAAACTACAACTCCCACATATCAAGGTGAATTTTCCTCAAAGACTTCCAGTATTTTTTGGTGGTCATGGGGGTTCTGTGTGCCAAGTTCGGTCCAATTTCCCCTTTCATGGAGTTCAGAGTCCTCCTTGATTGCAGGTGAACTATAACTCCCAAATGTCCAGGCCAATTCCCCTCAGAACCCACCAGTATTCCAATTTGGGCATATCGGGTATGTATGTCAAGTTTGGTCCAGATCCATCGTGGTTTGGGTTCATAGTGCAGCCTCGATGTAGGTGAACTACAACTCCTCTAAATCCCTCCAAAGACCTCCAGAATTTTTTGCTGGTCACGGGGTTCTGTGTGCCAAGTTAGTCCCAGGTCCATTGTTGGTGGAGTTCAAAGTGCAATTCTTAGATTACAGGTGAACTAAACATCCCAGGACCTACAACTTCTATAAAGCATGAATTCTCCCCAAACCCTTCCAGTATGTTCAGTGGCTGATCAATTCCTGTTTGCTGTGCGCCACAGAAAAGAACAGGAAAGGGTTAAGGGAGAGGCAGTGGCAGGGTCATGCAAATTCAACACCAATGGAGAGAGCCAGAAACACTGGGATGCCTGTGGTGGAGGAAACACATAAAATTAGGATGGAATTATCTCCATATGAAAGCCTTCACTTGGGTGGTGGGCAGTGTGGTGTTGGTGGAGAGCATTGGCAGGGCTCTGGGACATGTTCATGGCGCTTGCTATAACCTGCAATGTCATTGGTGAAAGGGCCTTTGGTGTCTCCTGAGTAGTGGGAGCTATAGAAGTTTGTGGAGGTGGGAGCTTGTCTGCGTCAGTGGACGCTCCAGCCACACACACACAATTTCACTTTTATTATGTACTAGCCGTCCCCTGCCATGCATAGCTGTGGCCCACTCTGGTGGTCATAGGGGTTGTGTGTGGGAGGTTTGGCCCAACTCTATCTTGGTGGGGTTCAGAATGCTCTGTGATTGTAGGTGAACTATAAATCCCAGCAACTACAATTCCCAAATGTCAAGATTATATTTCCCCCAAACTCCACCAGTGTTCACATTTGGGCATATTGAGTATTCATGCCACGTTTGGTCCAGATCCATCATTGTTTGAGTCCACAGTGCTCTCTGGAAATAGATGAACTACAACTCCCAAACCAAAGGACACTACCCACCAAACCCTTCCAGTATTTTCTGTTGGTCATGAGAGAACTGCCAAGTTTGGTTCAATTCCATCGTTGGTGGGGTTCAGAATGCTCTTTGATTGTAGGTGAACTTTAAATCCCAGCAACTACAACTCCCAAATGACAAAATGAATTTTTTTGAGTAAAAAACATACATTGAGTTGTTAGGTGTCTTGTGTCCAAATTTGGTGTCAATTCGTCCAGTGGTTTTTGAGTTCTGTTAATCCCACAAACGAACATTACATTTTTATTTATATAGATATAGATTATATTTATGTATAGCTCACTTTTATCTCTTGATTGACATGCAAAGCAGAAGAAAAAAAAAAGAAATCCCACTATTTCCAACTCCTCATAAAAGCAGTGTGCAGGAGAGACATTTCTTTGGACCACAACTCCCAGATGGACTAAAAGCGCTTCTCCTACAAGGCAGTGTACTTACTTACTTAGGCGATCCCTCGTAGTCCGAGGATGATGGTCCTCCAAGTTCGGTGTTCTGGCGGTGGGTCCGTAGGTGACTGTGGAGCCCTATTCTTGATCTGCATCTTCTCCCGCAGTGAGGGCATTGGTTTCCAGGTGGAAAGCGATCTCAGTCGGGGTTGGTTTGACACGCCTTCCTCTTGGCACGTTTCTCTTTCGCCCTCCATTCGTGCCTCTTCAAACTCCGCAGCACTGCTGGTCACAGCTGAACTCCAACTGGAGCGCTCGAGGGCCAGGACTTCCCAGTTCTCAGTGTCTATGCCAGAGCTTTTAAGATTGGCTTTGAGCCCATCTTTAAATTTCTTTTCCTGACCACCAACATTCCCTTTTCTATTCTTGAGTTCAGAGTAGAGCAACTGCTTTGGGAGATGGTGGTCGGGCATCCGGACAACGTGGCCTTTAGTCCAGTGGAGTTGATGGCGGAGGACCATCGCTTCAATGCTGGTGGTCTTTGCTTCTTCCAGCATGCTGACATTTGTCTGCTTGTCTTCCCAAGAGATTTGCAGGATTTTCCGGAGGCAGCGCTGATGGAATCATTCCAGGAGTTGCATGTGTTGCTTGTAGACAGTCCATGTTTTGCAGGCGTATAGCAGGGTTGGGAGGACAACAGCTTTATAAAAAAGTACCTTGGTCTCCCTCCGGATGTCCCGGTCCTCAAACACTCTCTGCTTCTTTTGGAAAAATGCTGCACTTGCAGAGCTCAGGCAGTGTTGAATTTCAGTGTCAATGTTGACTTTTGTGGAGAGGTGGCTGCCAAGGGAGCGGAAATGGTCAACATTTTCTAATGTTACATCATTAAGCTGTATTTCTGACATTGGAGAGGGACTGGTCGGTGATTGATGGAAGAGCACTTTGGTTTTCTCGATGTTTAATGACAAGCCGAGCTGCTCGTATGCTTCTGCAAAGGTGTTTAGAGTGGCTTGTAAGTCTTCTTCTGAATGTGCACAGACGATGTTGTCAGCAGCATACTGGAGTTCTATAATAGATGTTGTTGTAACTTTGGTTTTGGCTTTTGGTCTGCTGATGTTAAATAGTTTGCCATCTGTCCGACAGATGTGGGTAGCTTCCCATCAACAAGCCATTCAGCAGTGGAACTCTCTGCCCTGTTGTGTGGTGGAGGCTCCTTCTTTGGAGGCTTTTAAAAAGAGGCTGGATGGCCATCTGTTAGGGGTGCTTTGAATGCGATAATCCTGCTTCTTGGCAGGGGGTTGAACTGGATGGCCCATGAGGTCTCTTACAATTCTATGATTCTATGATTCTAAGTATCAAGGCAGTGCATCTGAATACTTAATCCCCAGATCAGTTACCACAAAGAGAAGAACCGCTTGCATTGGTCTTATCCTAAGGTCTCCTCTTATTCTGACTCCCTTTGAAGATGCCATACTATGCCCCACAGTGTGGGGATACTGGGAGTTGTAGTCTGCCACTAATGAAAATTAAAAGAAACCTTACAAAACAGCTTTATTTCTCAAACCAAAGTGATAATAAATAGGTATGTAAAGAAAACACACTCAGAAAGGAGAGATTCTCACTCGAAAAAGGGCTCAGGGACTGCGAAAGGCATTGGTTGTGTTGGCATTGCCAGCATGAGGTGTGTGCGTGTCCAGTTCGGTCTCTGGGATTTGGGTGGGCAAGGGATAGCTTACTCGCCTTCTTCTGCGAACCCTTCCTCAATCCCCGGAGGCCTGCATCTGCTTGCAGAAGGCGTCAAACTGCTGCTGTTCCAGCTCCGTCATCACCCGGTTCAGAGCATAGATCTGTACGAACAAATCAGATTAATAAAGACATTAAAGGAAGCTTGAAAATGGTATTTTTCCTATGTTGAGGGAGATGTGTCAGAAATATTAAAAATTAATTTGGTATTTTTAATTACAAAAATGTGAGTCAAGCACTGACTTGTTTGTATTACCCATAACTGTATTACCCATAATACAATCAATTACATTATGAGTAAAAACAACTATTTATTACCAATGCAAATCACCATTTATTATCCATAATATAAATCAAATATATTGCGAGTATTAGCAACCATTTATTACTTATAATATAAATCAATTATATTACAGGTAATAGCAAGCATTTATTACTAATAATATAAATCACCATTTATTACCCATACTATAAATCAATTTCAGCAGCTCAGTGGTTTAACCCACTGCGCCACCGGAGGCTCATAATATTGTAATATAACAATGCTAATATATTAAACATAATATTAACGTTGTAATATAATATATTACGTCTTATATACAGTAGAATTTATGATATAGTACAATGTATTATGTAATAGTAATAGTATAATATACTGGTAGTGTATTATATGTTTTTGTGGTATACTAATATGGTACAATAATGTATAATAATATAATGCATATGTGTAATATTATTAATAATATTGCATTATAGTGGTATAGTTCACTATAACATATAACACTAACATTGTGCCATACTAATATATACATATAATATTAATACTATAACGCAAGATTATGCTAATTATCATACAATATTAGTAATAGTGTGCTGTGCTAATACTATAGTATATACCTAATATATTACATATACATATGCTAGCAATATTATAATGTAATACAATATAATACTAATAATAATATAATATAATAACACTAATATATTAAATATAATACTAATATATACTAATATTGTGCTCTACTAATAATATATTATATATACATATATATTAATAATGCTATTATAACGCAATATAATAGCAATAATGATACATTAGTAATATTGTGCTGTGCTAATTATTTAGTATATATCTAATACAGTATATTATATATACATATGCTAGTAATATTATGTTATACTATATAATACTAATAATACAGTATAACAATACATAATATTGTAATATAATAATACAAATATATTAAATATAATACTGCTGATAATATATAATATTGTGTTATACTAATAATATATTATATATAAAATAATAATACATTACACTATAATATATAATACTAATATTGTGCTATACTAATATTATAACATAATGCAATATAATACTAATAATCATACAATATTAGAAATAGTGTGCTGTGCTAATACTATAGCATATAGCAAATATCGTATATTATATACAAATAATATTAATATTATAATGTAATACAATATACTATTAATAATACAATATAATATACAATAGTGTAATATAATAATACTAATATATTAAATATACTGCTGATATACACCAATATTGTGCTATACTAATATTATATTATATATAATATTAATACTATTATAACATAATGCAATATCAGTATTAGTAATATTGTGCTGTGATAATTATATAGTATATAGCTAATATAGTATGTTATATATACATATACTATTAATATTATAATGTAATACAACATAATACTAATAATAATACAATGTAATAATATATAATATTGTAATACAGTAATACTAATATATTAAATATAATACTGCGGATAATATAATAATATATTATAATATAGGATTGTTGTAGTTTTTTTTCGGGCTACATGGCCATGAGAAAAAAAAAACCTACAACAACCCAGTGATTCCAGCCATGAAAGTTTTTGACAATATATAATATTATAATATATTTAATATAAATAATATGATATAATTAGTTATAATAGAATTATAATATTAATATATATTAATATTGTATTATAACATATTATTATAATATAAATAAAATAATTAATTAGAATATAATAATTATATATTATTATAATTATAATATTTTATTATATATTATTATACTATAAATAGTATAATTAAATATAATTATAATTATACTATTATATATTATTATATTATAACATATTTTTATGATATAATTAATTATAATAAAATTATTATATATTAATATTATAATAAAAATAAATTATTTTATTATATATTATTATAATATAAATAATATTATTGAATATAATTATAACATAATTATAACATAAATATAATTATAACGCCCTTCCTACAGACATTAGATCGGCCCCCTCCTTATTGGCATTCCGGAAGAGAGCGAAGACCTGGCTCTTCGAACAGGCTTTTAACTAAACAGTGCAATTGATTGTTTACTGGAATATGGATTAATGGACAACGAGATCGGATGCTGATTCTATTGATGAGACGTGATGGATTGGCCAGGCCCAGTTTTATTGTATTGTGCCTGTTGTTCACTTTGCTTTATTCCGTTTTAATTGTTTGATTTGCTTAGATTGTATTATTATGTTGTGTGTTGAGGCTTCGGCCTGTGTTAGCTGCATCAAATCCTTCGGGAGATGCTAGCGGGGTACAAATAAAGTTTAATAATAATAATAATAATATTGTTGCATTCGTGTTTTTGATGTTAATTAATTGATACTACTGTTTTAAATGACTAATGATTTTGTACTGTGTTGCTGATACTGGTTGTTAACCGCTCCGAGTCGCCTGATGGCCGAGAAGAGTAAATAAATACAAATAAATACAAGTAAAGTAAATAAATAAATAATAAATATATTAATATTATATTATAATATATTATTAATATAAATAATATTATTAAATATAATTATAACATAATTATAACATAAATATAATATATTATTAATATAAATATTATTAAATATAATTATAACATAATTATAACATAAATATAATTATAACATAATTATATTATTATATATTAACATTATATTATAATATATTAATATAAATAATATTAAATATAATTATAACATAAATATAATTATAACATAATTATACTATTATATATTAATATTATATTATAATATATTATTATATTACAATAATATATAATAATATACTATGACAATACTGTTTTATTTATTTAACTGTATTTGTATGTATTATTGTATATTTATATTTTTTAATGAGTTTGATTGTGAGCTGCTTTGAGTCTCCGTATGGAGAGATAAAGCGGGATATAAACAAACAAGTCAATAAAAATGAAATAAGTTCTCTTAGAAAAGGAAATTTTCCTTGTCAACCGGGAAATCAGGAAATCTCGCGAGAGTGAGAAAGGAATAGGAAAGGCCATTGGGGCGCCGGGGCGGAATCTCGCGAGAGCGGGAGGCGAGGCAAGATGGCGGCGCGGCCTAGCTGAAGCGGAGAAGCCTGCCTCACCTCGGCTCTTTGCCGCTGCTTCAGCTCCTGCTGGGCCGCCCGCTGCTTGGCCTTCTCGAGGCGGCTGGCGCTGCCCTCCTTGGCCTTCGGGAGCGGCGGGAGAGGAGGCGGCGGCAGCGGCTGGAGCATCTTCTCGCGGCGGCCTCCCCCTCCGCCTCCTCCGGGCTCCATCCTCCGCTGAGGAGAGAAAATGGCGGAGCGCCACGGCGCATGCGCACGGGGAAGCATACCCGGACGCCGCTCTGGCGCTTAACCCACTGCGCATGCGCTTCGCAATCACCTTCCTTCTCTATGAGCTCAGGGAGCGCTAGAGATAGGAAAAGGGAAGAGTGACACATCCTCATTCCCCCGCCTTTGGAAGAGGAGGAGGAAGAGGAAGGAGGAGTCTTCTCTCCTGGATGCCAGAGGAAGGAAGAGAAGGAAGGAAGGAAGGCCGGGGAAGAATACTGCAGGGTGCCCTTGGAGGGCATCTCCATCTTGGCCATTGTCTAAATCGCCTTCCTTTCTAAGGAAGCATCCTCTTCTTCCTAATTCTCCTCCATCTTTCCCTCTTCCTCCTCCTGTGATTGAGGCTTTTTCTTCCTCTTCCTCTTCTCCTTATCGTCTCATTTCTCCTCCATCTCTTCCTCCCTCCTCCATTCTTCTTATTCTTCCACATTCTTTCTAGCATCCTCTTCTTCCTAATTCTCCTCCTTCTTTCCCTCTTCCTCCTCCTGTGCTTAAGGCTTCTACTTCCTCCTCCTCTTCTTATCATCATATTTCTCCTCCATCTCTTCCTCCCTCCTCCCTTCTTCTTGTTCTTTCTCCTCTTCCACATTCTTTCTCTTTTTTCCTCCTTCTCTTCACCTTCCACCCCTCCCTTTGTCTTCTCATACCTCCTTCTTCCCCATCTCTATCTCCTTCTGTTCTCCTCCTCTTCTTCTCCCCATCATCTATCTCTTCCTCCATATTCTTCCTCCTTCTCCTCCTCTTCTTCCATCTCTTCCTCCTCCACCTCTCTGTTCTTCCTCCTCCTCTTCTCTTCCTCCACCACCCTCTCTTCTTCCATCTCTTCCTCCTCCGCTCTCTGTTCTTCCTCCTTCCTCTCTTCTCTTCCTCCACCACCCTCTCTTCTTCCATCTCTTCCTTCTCCGCTCTCTGTTCTTCCTCCTTCCTCTCTTCTCTTCCTCCACCACCCTCTCTTCTTCCATCTCTTCTTCCTCCACCTCTCTCTGTTCTTCCTCCTTGCTCTCTTCTTCCTCCTCTTCTCTTCCTCCTCCACCTTTCTCTGTTCTCCTTCCTCTCTTCTTCCTCCACCACCCTCTCTTCTTCCATCTCTTCCTCTCTCCTCTCTCTGTTCTTCCTCCTTCCTTCTTCTCTTCCTCCACCACCTTCTCTTCTTCCATCTCTTCCTCCTCCTCCTCCTCCCTTTCTACTTCCTCCTCTTCCTATCCATCTCTTCCTCAACTTCCTTCTCTTCAACCACTTCTTCTGCTTCCTCCTCCACCTTCTTCCTTCATCGCCTTCTTCCATCTATTCCTCCTTCATCTCCTCCCCTTCTTGCACCTCTTCTTCCACTTCCTTCTCTTCATCCTCCATCTTCTTCCTCCTTCGTCACCTTCTCAGTCTCTTCCTTCTCCCCTTCTACTTCCTCCTCCTCCTCTTCCATCTATTCTTTCTTTTCCTCCACCTCTTCCTCCTCCATCTCTCCTCCTCTCCTTCCATCTCTTCCTCCATTTCATCTCTTCTTCCATCCCTTCCTCCACTTCCTTCTCTTTCTCCTCCATCATATAATCTTTTTCCATCTTTTTCTTTTCACTCTCCTTCCCCTCCTCTCCCTGTTCCATCACCTCTTCCATCTCCTCCTCCTCCTCTTCTGTCTCTTCCTCCTCTTCCACGCACCTCTCTTCCTTCTCCTTTCCTTCCTCAATCCCTTCTTCCATTTCTTCATCTTCTTCCTTCATCACCTCCTCCTCCTCTTCATCTGTCTCTTCCTCCTTCCTCCTCCTCTGCCATCTCTTCATCCATCTCCTTCCTTCATCACCTTCGTCTCCTCTTCTTCCATCTCTTCCTCCTTCTCCCTCTCCCTTCTTTTCCTCCTCCTTCTTCCTCCTTCATCACCACCATCTCCTCCTCTTCTTCCGTCGCTTCCTCCGTCCACTTCCTGCATCTCTTCCTCTTCCATCTCTCCCTGTTCTTCCATCTCTTCCTCCTCCATCTTCTTCCTTCGTCACTTTCTCTTTAACTGTCTCTTCATTATTCCTCTTCCTCCTCCATTTCTTCTTCCATATCTTTCTTCATCACCTTCTTCTCCTCTTCTTCCATCTCATCCTCCTTTTCCCTACTTCTTTCTCTTCCTCCTCCATCTTCTTCCTTCATCACCTTCTTCTCCTCTTCTTCCATCTCATCCTCCTTTTCCCTTTCTACTTCCTCCAATTCCTCCTCCATCTTCTTCCTTCATCACCTTCTTCTCCTCTTCTTCCATCTCATCCTCCTTTTCCCTTTCTACTTCCTCCAATTCCTCCTCCATCTTCTTCCTTCATCACCTTCTTCTCCTCTTCTTCCATCTCATCCTCCTTTTCCCTTTCTACTTCCTCCAATTCCTCCTCCATTTCTTCCTTCATCACCTCCTCCTCCTCATCCTTCTGCGCCCACCCACCGACCTCACTTTCTCCTCTTCGTGCTCTGTTTCTTCTTCCTCTTCTCCTTCCTTCTTTCCTTCCCGCCTCCATGGCTGGTTCGGGCCCCTCGGCCTCCTCGTGCTGCAGCCTGAAGGACGAGCTGCTGTGCCCGATTTGCCTGAGCCTGTACCAGGACCCGGTCAGCTTTGGCTGCGAGCATTACTTCTGCCGCCGCTGCATTGCGGAGCACTGGAGCCGGCAGGAAGCCCAGGCGGCCCCAGCCCGAGACTGCCCCGAGTGCCGGCGCACCTTCGCCGAGCCCCTGCTGGCCCCCAGCCTCAAGCTGGCCAACATCGTGGAGCGCTACGCCGCCTTCCCCTTGGACGCCCTCCTGCGCAGCGCCCACCGCCGACTGGGCTCCGGCGGGGCATCCGGTGGCTCCCCGGGTGGCGTCTCCTCGGCCTCCTCCTCCTGCGCCAAGGAACACGGCAAGGTCCAGCTCTTCTGCCTTTCCGACCGTGCTGTGGTCTGCTTCTTCTGCGACGAGCCTGCCCTCCACGAGCAACACCAGGTCACCAGCCTCGACGACGCCTTCGAGGAGCTCCAGGTCGGGAGGAGGAGGACGCCCGCTGCACCCCTGAGGGATGGGGAGGCACACAGAGGGGTCCCGTTGCATCTGGGAGGGGTATCATTGCACTCCTCAGGGATGTGGAGCTCCAAGGAGGGGTCCCACTGCATCTCTGAAGGATGTGGAGACCCAAAGAAGGGTCCCATTGCATCTCTGAAGGATGTGGAGACCCAAAGAAAGGTCCCATTGCATCTCTGAAGGATGTGGAGACCTAAAGAAGGGTCCCATTGCATCCCTGAAGGATGTGGAGACCCAAAGAAGGGTCCCATTGCATCTCTGAAGGACGTAGAGACCCAAAGAAGGGTCCCATTGCATCTCTGAAGGACATAGAGACCCAAAGATGGGTCCCATTGCATCTCTGTAGGTTGTGGAGGCGCCAAGAGGGTCCCATTGCATCCCTGAAGGTTGTGGAGGCCCCAAGAGGGTCCCATTGCATCCCTGAAGGTTGTAGAGTCCCCAAGAGTGTCCCATTGCATCCCTGAAAGTTGTGGAGACCCAAAGAAAGGTCCCATTGCATCTCTGAAGGAGGTGGAGACCCAAAGAAGGGTCCCATTGCATCTCTGAAGGATGTGGAGACCCAAAGAAGGGTCCCATTGCATCTCTGAAGGATGTGGAGACCCAAAGAAGGGTCCCATTGCATCTCTGAAGGAGGTGGAGACCCAAAGAAGGGTCCCATTGCATCTCTGAAGGATGTGCAGACCCAAAGAAGGGTCCCATTGCATCTCTGAAGGATGTGGAGACCCAAAGAAGGGTCCCATTGCATCTCTGAAGGAGGTGGAGACCCAAAGAAGGGTCCCATTGCATCTCTGAAGGAGGTGGAGACCCAAAGAAGGGTCCCATTGCATCTCTGAAGGATGTGGAGACCTAAAGAAGGGTCCCATTGCATCTCTGAAGGATGTGGAGACCTAAAGAAGGGTCCCATTGCAACTCTAAAGGATGTGGAGACCTAAAGAAGGGTCCCATGGCATCTCTGAAGGATGTGGAGACCCAAAGAAGGGTCCCATTGTATCTCTGAAGGATTTGGAGACCCAAAGAAGGGTCCCATTGCATCTCTGAAGGATGTGGAGACCCAAAGAAGGGTCCCATTGCATCCCTGAAGGATGTGGAGACCCAAAGAAGGGTCCCATTGCACCCCTGAAGGTTGTGGAGGCCCCAAGAGGGTCCCATTGCACCCCTGAAGGTTGTGGAGACCCCCAAGGGGGTCCCATTGCATCCCTGAAGGTTGTGGAGGCCCCAAGAGGGTCCCACTGCATCCTTGAAGGTTGTGGAGGCCCCAAGAGGGTCCCATTGCACCCCTGAAGGTTTTGGAGGCCCCAAGAGGTTCCCACTGCACCCCTGAAGGTTGTGGAGGCCCCAAGAGGTTCCCATTGCATCTCTGAAGGTTGTGGAGACCCCAAGAGGGTCCCATTGCATCTCTGAAGGTTGTGGAGATCCAAAGACGGCTCCTATTGCATCCCCGAAGGATGTGGAGTTCAAATAGGGGTCCCATTGCATCCCTGAAGGGGATATGTAGTTCGGAGAGAGTCTGTAGCCATCCAAAGGAATGACCGTTGTGGTCCTGAAGTAGATAAAGAAGGGAACCCATTCACCTCCAAACCTGGAAGGAGGAGAGATGAAGGGGTCCTAATGTGTCCCAAAGGGATGGATGAAGGTGTGAAGGTGGTGGGAACAGGAAGCAGCCAAAGATACTCAGAAGGTGGTTCTAGATGGCCTTTGGGGCCCCCTTTCCCTCACTCGTCTGCTTCCTTTCTCTCTTCCAGCGGGAGCTCAAGGAGCAACTGCAGACCCTGCAGGACAGCGAGCGCGGGCACACCGAAGCCCTGGCCCGCCTCAACCGCCAGCTGGCTGAGACCAAGGTCAGTGTGGCCTCACTCATTAGTATTACTGCCTCCAGTGGTGTAGACACCCTGTGATAATGCAGCATGTCTCATTAAGAGCCACATCTACCGTTTTAAGATGGTGAGATGTGTTCCACATTTGGCATGCATACTCAGCAGCAGAGAAGCCAAGCGCAAGGGCAGGTGCCGTCACTGTGTCTGGTTGTGATCCCTAGGTTGTGCCAGTCAGCTTTCGTACAATATTATTTCTAGCTCCTACTTTTTGCATGATAGTCAAGCAGTGTTTCTTATACGTCAGAGCACGGTCCAGAGTGACTCCCAGGTATTTGGGTGTGCTGCAGTGCTCCAGTGGGATTCCTTCCAAGGTCATACTCAGAGCTCGAGATGCTTGTCTGTTCTTAAGGTGAAAAGCACACGTCTGCATTTTGGATGGATTAAGAATCAGATAGCTTTCCCTGTAATAGACAGTAAGAGCACCTAAAGCTTCAGAGACCTTCTGTTCAACCATTTCAAAGCTGTCTTCTTGAGTGGTGATGGCACTATTGTCAGCGTAGATGAAACTCTCTCTCTTCTGGCAGTGGCTGGTCATTTGTCATTTTATAGATGGATAGATAGACAGACACTTCTGGATTTCCCTGTAATAGGCAGTAAGAGCACCTAAATCTTCAGAGAGTTTCTGGCGATGCAGCTCAGACCCGTAGCGCATCTGCAGGAGCCCGGGCGCCCAAAGTCTTCCTTTATTTCATAGCTCTTTGCTTGGGCATTGATGGCATGATCGTCAGCATAGAGGAATCTCTCTGTCCCTTCTGGCAGCAGCTGGTCATTTGTGTAGATCAGGTGTCCTCAAACTTCTAAAGCAGAGGGCCGGTTCATTGTCCCACAGACTGTTTGTGGGGACAGGGACTATATTTTGAGAAAAACATGGACAAATTCATATGCACACTGCAGATATATTATTTGTACTGCAAAAAACATGAAAGAATATACAGTATTTAAAATGAACAATTTTAACCAACATAAACTTACCAGTATTCCAATGGGAATGGTGGGCTTGCTTTCAGTCAAGTTAATTCAGGTGGTTGTTGTTGTTGTGTGACTTAGGGGGTAACCCTAAGTCTAAAGTTTCGACCAGGGGCCAAGTAAATCTCCTTGGAGGGCCGCATCTGACCTGCGGCCCTTAGTTTGAGAACCCCTGGTGTAGATGTTAAACATTAATGGAGCAAGGTTATTTTCCCTGTAATAGGCAGTAAGAGCACACTTCAGAGAGCTTCTGTTCAACCATTTCAAAGCTCCCTATTTGAGCGTTGATGGCACGATCGTCAGCATAGAGGAAACTCTCTGTCCCTTTTGGCAGTGGCTGATCATTTGTGTAAATGTTAAACATTGGTGGTGCAAGCTGGTTTTCCCTGAAATAGGTAGTAAGAGCACCTAAAGCTTCGAAGAGCTTCTGTTTAACCATTTCAAAGCTCCCTGCTTGGGCGGTGATGGCACAATCGTCAGCATAGATGAAACTCTGTCATTTCTGGTAGTGGCTGGTCATTTGTGTAAATGTTAAACATTGATGGAGCAAGTGCCTAAAGCTGTGGAGAGCTGCTCAACCATTTCAAAGCTCCCTGCTTTGGGTGATGATGGCACGATCGTCAGCATAGATGAAAATTTCTGTCCCTTCTGGCAGTGTTTGGTCATTTGTGTAAATGCTAAACATTGATGGAGCAAGCTGGTTTCCCCTGTAATAGGTAGTAAGAGCACCTAAAGCTTCGGAGAGCTTCTGTTCAACCATTTCAAAGCTGTCTTCTTGAGCGGTGATGGCACTATCGTCAGCGTAGATGAAACTCTCTGTCCCTTCTGATCATTTGTGTAAATGTTAAACATTGATGGAGCAAGCTGGTTTCCCCTGTAATAGGCAGTAAGAGCAGCTAAAGCTTTGGAAAGCTTCTGTTCAGCCATTTCAAAGCTCCCTGCTTGGGCGGTGATGGCATGATCGTCAGCATAGATGAAACTCTCTATCTCTTGCAGTGGCTGGTCATTTGTGTGAGTGTTAAACATTGATGGGAGAAACACACTCCCCTTAGGCAGGCCGTTCTTCTGTCTTCGCGATCCGCTTCTCTGCACCTGGAACTCAACAAAAAAGCTCCTGTTTTGTAGTAGATTTCCTATGAAGCGGGTGAAGAGGTATAGATAGAGAATCTGGATATTCTATAGACAGATAGAGATATAGAATATGGATCTGCATAATAACCGGACCTTGATGTGTCCCCCTCTGCCCGCCAGTCCTCGGCCAAGGGCCTGCGCGCCACCATCGGGGAGGCCTTTGAGCGGCTGCACCGGCTACTTCGGGACCGTCAGAAGGCTATGCTGGAGGAGCTGGAGGCGGACACGGCTCGGACGCTGACCGACATCGAGCAGAAGGTCCAGCGCTACAGCCAGCAGCTGCGCAAGGTCCAGGAGGGCAGCCAGATCCTGCAGGAGCGCCTGGCCGAGGCCGACAAGCACGCCTTCCTGGCCGGCATCGCCTCGCTCTCCGAGAGGTAGGCCTCTGGAAGGGCTCCTTCCGCTCTTCCACGTCACGCTCCCGGTCTCATTCCCGCTCTCGTTCTCCCCAGGCTGAAAGGGAAGATCCACGAAACCAACCTGACCTACGAAGACTTCCCCACCTCCAAGTACATGGGGCCCTTGCAGTACACCATCTGGAAGTCCCTTTTCCAGGACATCCATCCAGGTGAGACACTTCTTCTCAACCTTGGTTGCTACCAGAACCATCTCTACTCCAGGCATGGGCAAACTTGGGCCATCAAAGTGTTTTGGACTTCCAACTCATCTCTCTTTCCATCCATCCATCGATCCAATCACCTGTTTGTACCTATCTCTCAGTCTATCCATCCTACCTACCTATCTAGCATCACTTATCTTCTCCCAGCCCCTATCTATCTATCTATCTATCTATCTATCTATCTATCTATCTATCTATCTGTCCCTATCTGTCTGTCCGTCCGTCCGTCCATCTCATGTCTGTCCGTCCGTCCGTCCATCCATCTCTTCTATCTATCTATCTATCTATCTATCTATCTATCTATCTATCTATCATCTATCTATCCATACATCCATCCAGTTATCCATCCATCATCTCTTCTATCTATCTATCTTTCTATCTGTCTGTCAGTCTGCTTGCCTGCCCGCCCGCCCATCCATCCATCCATCTATCTATCTGTCCCTATCTGTCTGTCTGTCTGTCCGTCCGTCCGTCCATCCATCCATCCATCTCGTCTGTCTGTCTGTCCGTCCGTCCGTCCGTCCGTCCATCTCATCTATCTATCTATCTATCTATCTATCTATCTATCTATCTATCATCTATCTATCCATCCAGTCATCCATCCATCATCTCTACTATCTATCGATCGATCGATTGATCGATTTATCTCTATCTATCTATTTATCTATCTATCTATCTATCTATCTATCTATCTATCTATCTATCTGTTCATCCATCCATCCATCCAGCTATCCATCCATCATCTCTTCTATCTGTCCGTCCGTCCGTCCGTCTGTCCGTCCGTCCGTCCGTCCATCTCATCTATCTATCTATCTATCTATCTATCTATCTATCTATCTATCTATCTCCTCTGTCTATCTATCTGTCTATTAGGCATGGGCAATCTCTGGTTCTAAATGGTTCTAAAGTACTTACAAAACTAGAAGGCGTTGGAGCTTTGCTTCTAAAGTGTTACTAAAACTGGTGCTTTGCTTCTAAAGTGTTGCTAAAGTTCTGGTGGTGAAAATTTCAGAATTCCAACAAAACTTTCAAAATTTCATTATTTTGTTATTGGCAATTTTTATGACCGAACCAATTAGGATCGGCCGTTTATAATGAAATTTTGAAAGTTTTGTTAGAATTCTGATATTTTCACCACCAGAACTTTAGCAACACTTTAGAAGCAAAGCACCAGTTTTAGTAACACTTTAGAAGCAAAGCTCCAGTGCCTTCTAGTTTTGTAAGTACTTTAGAACCATGGATTGCCCATGACTACTATCCATCCATATGTATGCAGTTTGAATAATGTACCAGTAAGGCCTTCTCGTGGACCACCATGATAATTTCAGGGGGGGGGGCTGAAGCCCCCCAGCCCCCTCCCCCCCCGGCTACATGCCTGTAGGTATGTATCTTTAGGGTCTAAACTGGCCCTTGGGGCCTCTTCCAACTGTGTTTCTGTGATCACCCCTTTCTCTATCCATCCATCCTGTCTGCCTGTACCTATCTCTCTGTCTGTCCATCCTACCTACCTATCTAGCATTGCTTATCTTCTCCCAGCCCCTATCTATCTATCCATCCGACTGAATGTATGTATGTATGTATGTGTCTATTAGAGACTAGCCCTTGAGGTCTCTTCTCCCACCCTATCTATCCATCTATCTATCCATATGTATGTATATGTCTATCTTTCTTAGATATTGGTCCTCATGGTCTCCATCCATATGTCTAACTATCTTAGATACTGGTCCTTGTGGTCTCCATCCATCCATCCATCCATCCATCCATCCATATGTCTTAACTATCTTAGATGCTGGTCCTTGTGGTCTCCATCCACCCATATGTCTTAACTATCTTAGATACTGGTCCTTGTGGTCTCTATCCATCTATCCATCCATATGTCTATCTATCTTAGATACTGGTCCTTGTGGTCTCTATCCATCCATCCATCCATCCATCCATCCATCCATCCATCCATATGTCTACCTATCTTAGATACTGGTCCTTGTGGTCTCTATCTATCCATCAATCCATCCATATGTCTATCTATCTTAGATACTGGTCTTCGTGGTCTCTGTCCATCCATCCATATGTCTATCTATCTTAGATACTTGTCCTCATGGTCTCTATCTATCCATCCATATGTTTATCTATCTTAGATACTGGTCCTTGTGGTTTCTGTCCATCCATCCATCAATCCATCCATATGTCTATCTTAGATACTGGTCCTCATGGACTCTGTCTATCCATTCATATGTCTTAACTATCTTAGATACTGGTCCTTGTGGTCTCCATCCATCCATCCATCCATCCATCCATCCATCCATCCATATGTCTATCTCAGATATTGGTCCTCGTGGTCTGTCCATCCATCCATCCATATGTCTATCTATCTTAGATACTGGTCCTTGTGGTCTCTGTCTATCCATCCAGCCATGCATCCACCTATCTGTCTATCTATCTTAGATACTGGTCTTTGTGGTCTCTATCCATCCATCCATCCATCCATATGTCTATCTATCTTAGATACTGGTCCTTGTGGTCTCTGTCTATCCATCCATATGCCTAACTATCTTAGATACTGGTCCTCGTGGTCCCTATCCATCCACCATCCATCCCATTATTTCTTTCTATCTGTCCATCCATTCATCAATCCATCTATCTCTCTAAGGGGTTGGACTGGCTGTCCTCTGGGGTTCCCCACCCTCTGGCTGTGTGCATGACCCCATTCTCCTTCTCCCCCAGTTCCAGCCACGCTGACGTTGGACCCGTCCACAGCCCACCAGCGGCTGATCCTCTCAGACGACTGCACCATCGTGGCCTACGGCAACTTGCACCCACAACCACTGCAGGACTCCCCGCGACGCTTCGATGTGGAGGTCTCGGTGCTGGGCACGGAGGCCTTTGGGAGCGGGACGCACTACTGGGAGGTGGTGGTTTCGGAGAAGACACAGTGGATGATCGGCCTGGCCCACGAGGCGGTCAGCCGGCGCGGCAGCATCCAGATCCAGCCCAGCCGGGGCTTCTACTGTATCGTGATGCACGACGGCACCCAGTACAGTGCCTGCACCGAGCCCTGGACCCGGCTCAACGTCAAGGGCAAGCTGGAGAAGGTGGGCGTCTTCCTGGACTATGACAAGGGCCTGCTCATCTTCTACAACGCCGACGATATGTCCTGGCTCTACACCTTCCGGGAGAAGTTTCCCGGGAAGCTCTGCTCCTACTTCAGTCCCGGGCAGAGCCATGCCAACGGGAAGAATGTCCAGCCCCTGCGCATCAACACTGTACGCATTTAGGGGGGGAACATTATGGGAACGAGGGTTGGAGTCATACTGGTCCTAAAAGGGGGATCGTCTGCAGGGGTGCTTTTCCTGAAGGTGGGATTGCAGAAGGAGTAATGTTTTGAGGATCAGGTTTTTGAGAAGCTTCCTTGGAACCACCAACACTTCAATGTATATGTTCCTTAAGAAGAGTCCTTGGAATGGCCAATGTTATTGGGACCAATTTTCTGAAGATGGGATCTTGGAATGACTATTATTTATGGGATCGGGTTCTTAAGAAGCTTCCTTGAAATCACCAACGTATTAATGTTTAAGTTCTTTAAGAAGAGTCCTTGGAACTACCAATGTTATTGAGACCAACTTCCTGAAGATGTAATCTTAGAGTGACAATTGCTTATGGAATCAGGTTCTTAAGAGGGTTCCTTGGAACCACCAACTTATTAATGTTTACGTTCCTTAAGAAGAGTCCTTGGAACTACCAATGTTATTGAGACCAACTTCCTGAGGATGGGATCTTGGAATGACTATTGTTTATGGAATCAGGTTCTTAAGAGGGTTCCTTGGAACCACCAACGTATTAATGTTTATGTTCCTTAAGAAGAGTCCTTGGAACTATCAATGTTATTGAGACCAACTTCCTGAGGATGGGATCTTGGAATGACTATTGTTTTTGGGATCAGGTCCTTCAGAAGCTTCCTTGGAACTGCCAACATTGGGACCAAATTCCTGAAGATGGGATCTTGGAATGATTAATGTTTTGAGGACCAGGTTCTTGAGAACCTTCTTTAGAACCACCGACATTTTAATGTTCATGTTCCTTAAGAAGAGTTCTTGGAACTCCCAACTTCATTGGGACCAATTTCCTGAAGATAGCATCTTAGAATGACTATTTTTTTGGGACCAGGTTCTTAAGAGGGTTCCTTGGAATCACCAACGTATTAATGTTTATGTTCCTTAAGAAGAGTCCTTGGAATGGCCAATGTTGTTAGGACCAGTTTCCTGAAGATGGGATCTTGGAATGACTATTGCTTTTGGGATCAGGTTCTTAAGAAAGTTCCTTGGAATCACCAATGTTTATGTTCCTTAAGAAGAGTCCTTGGAACGGCCAATGTTGTTGGGACCAGTGTCCTGAAGATGGGATCTTGGAATGACTATTGCTTTTGGGATCAGGTTCTTAAGAAGGTTCCTGGGAATCACCAATATTTATGTTCCTTAAGAAGAGTCCTGGGAATGGCCAGTGTTTACGTTCCTTAAGAAGAGTCCTTGGAACGGCCAACATTATTGAGACCAATTTACTGAAGATGGGATCTTGGAATGACTATTGCTTTTGGGATCAGGTTCTTAAGAAGGTTCCTGGGAATCGCCAATATTTATGTTCCTTAAGAAGAGTCCTTGGAATGGCCAATGTTGTTGGGACCAGTCTCCCGAAGATGGGATCTTGGAATGACTATTGCTTTTGGGATCAGGTTCTTAAGAAGGTTCCTTGGAATTACCAATGTTCACGTTCCTTAAGAAGAGTCCTTGGAACGGCCAACATTATTGAGACCAATTTACTGAAGATGGGATCTTACAATGACCATTGTTTTGAGAACCAGGTTCTTCAGAATCCTCCTTTTGATGCAGACCAAAACCCCATTGGCTTTTTGAGCTGCTGCATCACACTCTTGGCTCATGGAACGTGTTCTCCGCTAAGATCTTTCGCATGTGGACTATTGTCGAGCCAGGCTTTGCCTATTTTGTATCTTTGCATTTCATTTCATCTGCCTAGGTGTCGTATCTCACATTTGTCCTTGTTGACATTTATTGTGTTCATTTTGGCCAATCATCTCTCTAGTCCGTTGAGGTTGTTTTGCATCCCGATTCTGTCCTCTGGAGAATTAGCTATTCCTCCCAATTTGGTGTCACCTGTAAACTAGATCAGGAGGACCTCTAAACCTTCATCCAAGTCATTAATGAAGACGTTGAACCGAACTGGGCCCATAACCTTCTTCGTGGTCATTGATGAAGACGTTGAACCGAACTGGGCCCATAACCCTCTTCGTGTTCATTAATGAAGATGTTGAACCGAACTGGGCCCATAACCTTCTTCGTGGTCGTTAATGAAGACGTTGAACCGAACTGGGCCCATAACCCTCTTCGTGGTCATTAATGAAGATGTTGAACCAAACTGGGCCCATAACCCTCTTCATGGTCATTAATGGAGACGTTGAACTGAACTGGGCCCATAACCCTCTTCGTGGTCATTGATGAAGATGTTGAACCAAACTGGGCCCATAACCTTGTGGTCATTAATGAAGACGTTGAACTGAACTGGGCCCACAACCCTCTTTGTGGTTGTTAATGAAGACGTTGAGCCGAACTGGGCCCATAACCTTCTTCTTGGTCATTAATGAAGACGTTGAACCCAACTGGGCCCATAACCTTCTTCGTGGTCGTTAATGAAGACGTTGAACCGAACTGGGCCCATAACCTTCTTCGTGGTCGTTAATGAAGACGTTGAACCGAACTGGGCCCATAACCCTCTTCGTGGTCATTAATGAAGATGTTGAACCAAACTGGGCCCATAACCCTCTTCATGGTCATTAATGGAGACGTTGAACTGAACTGGGCCCATAACCCTCTTTGTGGTCATTGATGAAGATGTTGAACCAAACTGGGCCCATAACCTTGTGGTCATTAATGAAGACGTTGAACTGAACTGGGCCCACAACCCTCTTTGTGGTTGTTAATGAAGATGTTGAACCGAACTGGGCCCATAACCTTCTTCTCGTGCTCATTAATGAAGATGTTGAACCCAACTGGGCCCATAACCCTCTTATGTTTTCCTCCCATCCGTCGGGAGCTTTGCCTCTCTGTATCAACGGGAACGAGTTCTCTCTCTGTGGGTCTTGACGTTTCGGTGGTGGTCGGTCTTGTCGTGGGTTTTTCGGTGGGCAACGGAAGCAAGGGAATGGGGAAATAAACGGAACGTTGACGTCCAAAGTGGTCTTGTGATTGTTCCAGGAAAAATAGTGTGGCCACAAGAGGGCAGCATTGGATATGTAAACAATGGGACACGATTCCTTTTCTCTTGAGCCTCACTCTGGTTGTGATGGGTTCCAACTCCCCATCCACTTACATCATCATGAATGGGAGTTGTAGTCCAACCCATTTAATATTGATCTCTTGGGTTCAATTGGACGCCAAGACTGGTGCAGATGGGGTTACAAACTGGGCAAAGTTCTTACACAACTGGCGTATACTATTGGGAATAGCAAACCCTACGGATATATAGGACGTCCGGTCCAAAGATGCCATACAATCTTGTTGGAGGACCAAAAAAATGCCTAGAGAGGGGACAGTTTGTTGGGTGTTCATAAATAAATGGTCACCTGTCTGGAGGGCTTTGATGGTGTCTTAATGCATGGAAGAAGGGTTGGACTGGATGCTCTCTGGGATCTCTTCCAACTCATTATTATTATTATTATTATTATTATTATTATTATTATTATTATTATTATTATTCAGAGGATGGATGGCCATGTGCTGGGAGGGCTTTGATGGTGTTTTACTGCAGAAGGGTTGGACTGGATGGCCTCTGGGGTCCCTTCCAACTCTTGGACCCTATAGTTATTATTATTATTATTATTATTATTATTACTATTATTATTACTATTATTATTATTTAGAGGATGGATGGCCATGTGCTGGGAGGGCTTCGATGGTGTCTTAATGCAGAAAGGTTGGACTGGGTGGCCTCTGGGGTCCCTTCCAACTCTAGGATTCTATTATTATCATCATTAATCCTTCTGCATCAAGGCACATTCAAAGCCCTCCTGACAGATGGCCATCTAGCCTCTGAATAATAATAATAATAATAATAATAATAATAATAATAATAATAATAATAGATTCCTAAAGTTGGAGGAGACCCCAGAGGCCATCCAGTCCAACCCTTCCACCAATAATAATAATAATAATAATAATAATAATAATAATAATAATAATAATCTTCTGCATTAAGGCAACATCAAATCCCTCCCGACAGATGGCCATCTGCTCATTAATAATTTTTATAATAATCCTAGAGTTGGAAGAGACTCCAGAGGCTATCCAGTCCAACCCTTCCACCAATAATAATAATAATAATAATAATAATCTGCATTAAGGCAACATCAAAGCCCTCCCGACAGATGGCCATCTGCCCATTAATAATTAAAATAATCCTAGAGTTGGAAGAGACCCCAGAGGCCATCCAGTCCAACCCTTCCACTAATAATAATAATAATAATAATAATAATAATAATATTCTGCATTAAGGCAACATCAAAGCCCTCCTGACAGATGGCCACCTGCTCATTAATAATTATTATTATCATCCTAGAGTTGTAAGAGACCCCAGAGGCCATCCAGTCCAATCCTTCCACCAATAATAATAATAATAATAATAATAATAATAATCTTCTGCATTAAGGCAACATCAAAGCCCTCCCGACAGATGGCCATCTGCTCATTAATTATTATTATAATAATCCTAGAGTTGGAAGAGACCCCAAGTAGAATACTGGTAGACTCCAACCCTTCTACCAATATTCCTTCTGCATTAAGACACCATCAAAGCCCTCCCGGCAGATGGCCATCCAAACTCTGCTTAATAAGAATAATAATAATAAGAATAATAGAGTTCTAGAGTTGTAAGAGACCCCAGATGCCTTCCAGCCCAACTCTTCTGCCATTAATGGTGATTATTATGACTGCTCCCATGGGCAGAGCTTGGCTGGCCATCTGTCGGGAGGGCTTTGATGGTGCTCTTCCCGTCCGTTGTGCCAGCAGCTGGCCTTGGTCGTCCCGCCGGACGTGTCGCTTTCTTGGCTCCGGCCCCAGGTCCTCCTTTGCTTGCATTTTGCCGGCCATCATTAGACCCCTTCATTTGGGACGCGCGACGAATCCCATAAGCGACGTGTTGAGAGAGATGGAGATGGAGGGGCTGCCTTGTCCAAAAAACCCCCTTCGGCGTAACCCGAACCCGCTTTCTCCCTCTGTCGTCGGGGGCTGAAATGTCACCCGACGACGGCCTGGCTGTCATCGGCGGAGTGCCTGGCGTGTCATTGGGGATTATGATGATTTTTTTCCGGCTATCTCGGGTCACCCCGTGCGCGCTCCTCATGTGACCCTCCCTCCGCACCCACTGCGTGCTCAATGCTCCAATGGGAGAACAAGGCCACAGTTGGGAAGCTGAAACACACGTATGTTTATCTATCGATACACATAATAAAAGTGAAAATATGTATGCACTACTCTAGAGACACTCATGGCCCTCCCTCCAATGACCTTGCAGGTTAGAGTGTGCGCCGTAAACATGTCCTCCACCAACGCAACATTGCCCACCACCCATATGAAGGCTTTCATTTGGGGACAATTCCCTCCTAGATTGTATGTGTTGCCTCCACCACAGGCACCCCAGTGTTCCTTACTCTCTCCATTGGTGAAAGCCACCCAGAGGAAGTCCATTGGTGAGAGCCACCCAAGGGTAGGCTTTCATTCAGGGACAATTCCATCCTAGATTGTATGTGTTGCCTCCACCACAGGCACCCCAGTGTTCCTTACTCTCTCCATTGGTGAAAGCCACCCAGAGGAAGTCCATTGGTGAGAGCCACCCAAGGGTAGGCTTTCATTCAGGGACAATTCCATCCTAGATTGTATGTGTTGCCTCCACCACAGGCACCCCAGTGTTCCTTACTCTCTCCATTGGTGAAAGCCACCCAGAGGAAGTCCATTGGTGAGAGCCACCCAAGGGTAGGCTTTCATTCAGGGACAATTCCATCCTAGATTGTATGTGTTGCCTCCACCACAGGCACCCCAGTGTTCCTTACTCTCTCCATTGGTGAAAGCCACCCAGAGGAAGTCCATTGGTGAGAGCCACCCAAGGGTAGGCTTTCATTCAGGGACAATTCCATCCTAGATTGTATGTGTTGCCTCCACCACAGGCACCCCAGTGTTCCTTACTCTCTCCATTGGTGAAAGCCACCCAGAGGAAGTCCATTGGTGAGAGCCACCCAAGGGTAGGCTTTCATTCGGAGACAAATCCATCCTAGATTGTATGTGTTGCCTCCACCACAGGCACTCCAGTGTTCCTTACTCTCTCCACTGGTGACAGCCACCTAACAGGGCTTTCATTCGGGGACAATTCCCTCCTAGAGTTTATATGTTGCCTCCACCACAGGCACCCCCGTGTTCCTTACTCTCTCCACTGGCAACAGCCACCCAAGGGAAGTCCATTGGTGAGAGCGACCCAAGTGAAAGCTTTCACTCGGGGACAATTCCCTCCTAGATTGTATGCTTCCTCCACCACAGGTACCCCAGTGTTCCTTACTCTCTCCATTGGTGGGAGCCATCCAAGTGAAGGTTTTCATTCGGGACAAATCCATCCTAGATTGTATGTGTTGCCCCCACCACAGGCATCCCAGTGTTCCTTACTCTCTCCACTGAGAGCCAACCACGTGAAGGTTTTCATTCAGGGACAAATTCATCCTAGATTGTACGTGTTTTCTCCACCACAGGCACCCCAGTGTTCCTTTCTCCACTGGTGACAGCCACCTAAGAGAAGGCTTTCATTCAGGGACAATTCCCTCTTAGATTTTATATGTTGCCTCCACCACAGGCACCCCAGTGTTCCTTACTCTCTCCACTGGCGACAGCCACCCAAGGGAAGTCCATTGGTGAGAGCCACCCAAGTGAAAGCTTTCATTCGGGGACAATTCCCTCCTAGATTGTATGTGTTGCCTCCACCACAGGCATCCTAGTGTTCCTTGCTCTCTCCATTAGTGAGAGCCACCCAGAGGAAGTCCATTGGTGAGAGCCACCCAAGGGAAGGCTTTCATTTGGGGACAAATCCATCGTAAATTGTATGTGTTGCCTCCACCACAGGCACCCCAGTGTTCCTTACTCTCTCAATTGGTGGGAGCCACCCAAGTGAAAGCTTTCATTCGGAGACAATTCCCTCCTAGATTGTATATGTTTCCTCCACCACAGGCACCCCAGTGTTCCTTACTCTCTCAATTGATGGCTGCCACCCAAGTGAAGGCTTTCATTCGGGGACAATTCCCTCCTAGATTGTATGTGTTGCCCCCACCACAGGCACCCCAGTGTTCCTTTCTCCACTGGTGACAGCCACCTAAGTGAAGGCTTTCATTCAGGGACAATTCCATCCTAGATTGTATGTGTTGGCTCCACCACAGGCACCCCAGTGTTCCTTATTCCCTCCATTGGTGAGCGCCACCCAAGGGAAGTCCATTGGTGAAAGCCACCCAAGGGAAGGCTTTCATTCGGGGACAATTCCCTCCTAGATTGTATGTGTTGCCTCCACCACAGGCATCCCAGTGTTCCTTACTCTCTCCATTGGTGAAAGCCACCCAAGGGTAGGCTTTCATTCGGGGACAATTCCATCCTAGATTGTATGTGTTGTCTCCACCACAGGCATCTCAGTGTTCCTTACCCTCTCCACTGAGAGCCATCCAAGTGAAGGTTTCATTCAAGGACAGTTCCCTCCTAGATTGTATATGTTTCCTCCACCACTGGCACCCCAGTGTTCCTTACTCTCTGAATTGGTGGGAGCCACCCAAGTGAAGGCTTTCATTCGGGGACAATTCCCTCCTAGATTGTATATGTTTCCTCCACCACTGGCATCCCAATGTTCCTTTCTCTCTCCATTGGTGAAAGCTACCCAAGTGAAAGGGACAATTCCATCCTAGATTTTATGTATTGTCTCTATCACAGGCACCCCAGTGTTCCTAACCCTCTCCACTGAAACCCATCCAAGTGAAGGTTTTCATTCGAGGACAATTCCCTCCTAGATTGTATATGTTTCCTCCACCACTGGCATCCCAGTGTTCCTTACTCACTCAATTGGTGGGAGCCACCCAAGTGAAAGCTTTCATTCGGGGACAATTCCCTCCTAGATTGTACATGTTTCCTCCACCACTGGCATCCCAGTGTTCCTTTCTCTCTCCACTGGTGTGGAACTTGCATGACCCCAGCCACTGCCTCTCCCTTAGCCCTTTCCTACCCACACCTGGCACACAGAACTCACCATAGTGGGAGCTGTAGTTCACCCTGCAGCCAGAGAGCACACCGAACTCCACCAATGAGCAAACTTGCCCAACATAACAAGCTTTGACCCCCTTTGGAGCGAATTCTTAATTTTATTATCGTTACCATCGTTTCGGGAATCCAAACGCGACATCTCCTCCCGATCCTTTTCGGTATCGCACGCCCCAAACAGCTGCCGTAATTCCCAATATAACTGTGGTGCGCAAAGGCGCACGAATGCACGCAGAAGAAGAGAATGGAATGGGTTTGGGAGGAAACGGGGCCGGGAAATGGCCAGAGGGATTCAAAGGGGAACACACCCACAGCAAGCACCACGCGGTCAGGACACGAGGAAGATCCCTCCATCCTTCTCGGGCCGTCAACACACTTTGACTGACAAAAAACGGCCGCAAAGTCCGCCTTACATTGGGCCCTCCGAAGGGCGCGTCTACACTGTCGGATTAATGCAGTTTGAAATCACTTTGGTGGAATCCTGGGAGCTGTAGTTGGCAAAGCAGGCTGTACACATACGTTGTGATCGAGCCTCAAGGAAAGGTAGATAATACTATTATTATTATTCAATCACAATACTATTTATTAGTATGGTTGTTATTTTGCTGCCATCATAACTTACTATTGTTATTAATATATTATTGTTATTTTTCCTCTATGCTGACGATCATGCCATCACCACCCAAGCAGCGAGTTTGAAATGGTTGAAGTTTCAGGTGATCTTCTATATTATTACTATTCTTCCAGATGGGAAGATACCAACCAAGCCCTCCTGAAAGATGGCCTTCCAGTGTCTCATTATATTATTATTATTATTATTATTATTATTATTATTATTATTATTATTATTATTGCTGCCAATTTCTAAAGGTGGAAGAGATCCCAAAGACCATCTAGTCCAACCTTTCTGCCAGATGGAACGATACCAACCAAGCCTTCCTGAAAGATGGCCATCCAGCGTCTCATTATATTATTATTATTATTATTATTGCCAATTATTATGCCTATTATTATTGCCAATTATTATTATTATTATTGCCAATTATTATGCCTATTATTATTGCCAATTATTATTATTATTATTATTATTGCTGCCAGTTCCTAGTGGTGGAAGAGACCCCCATCTAGCCCAACCTTTCTGCCAGGTGGGAAGACACCAACTAAGCCCTCCTGAAAGATGGCCATCCAGCCTCTCATTATATTATTATTATTATTATTATTATTATTATTATTATTATTATTATTATTATTATTATTGCTGCCAATTATTATTATTATTATTATTGCCAATTATTATGCCAATTATTATTATTATAGCCAATTCATATGCAAATTGTTGTTGTTGTTGTTGTTGTTGTTGTTGTTATTATTATTATTATTATTATTACTATTATTATTATTATTATTATTATTGCTGAGATGGCCATTCAGTATCTCATTGTTTATTATTATTGCTGTTGATTCCTAGAGGTGGAAGAGACTCCCAAAGGCCATCTAGTCCAACCTTTCTGCCAGGTGGGAAGACATCAACTAAGCCCTCCTGAAAGATGGCCATCCAGCCTCTCATTATATTATTATTATTATTATTATTATTATTATTATTATTATTATTGCTGCCAATTATTATTATTATTATTACTATTATTATTGCTAATTATGCCTATTATTATTATTATTATTATTATTATTATTATTGCCAATTATTATGCCAATTATTATTATTATTATTGCTGAGACGGCCATTCAGTATCTCATTATTTATTATTATTGCTATTGATTCCTAGTGGTGGAAGAGACCCCCAAAGGCCATCTAGTCCAACCTTTCTGCCAAGTGGGAAGACACCAACTAAGCCCTCCTGACAGATGGCCGTTCGGTCTCTCATTATTTATTATTATTGCTGTTGATTCCTAGAGGTGGAAGAGACCCCAATGGCCATCTAGTCCAACCCTTCTGCCAGCTGGGAAGATACCATGTAAGCCCTCCCGACAGATGGCCACCCAACCTCTGATTTATTATTAGTATTAGTATTAGTATTATTGAATGACAACTCCCAGCCTTCCCATGGCGGTTAGACTGCATGAATTCCCCAGTGTAGACGCACCCCAAGAAATGAATGCACCCGATTTGATGTTGAGCCCTTCCTTCCTCCCATGCTTCTCAAGGGAGCGCGTGCCACCACTTGAAGGCGAAGGGCTTGCGCTGAACGTTGGTCCCGCAGTGGACCTCTCCCAGCTGCTGGTGGTAGGAGGAGACGTCATCGATGAAGGTGCACATCAGGCCCAGCGGCTCCAGCAGCCCGCGCACATGTTGCTCCAGGACGCACTCGTTCTCCACGATGGGGCCAAAGGGCCTCGGGATCCCCAGGTCCCGCGAGAGCACCACCATGTTCACCTGCCGGACGAGAAACATCAGCCAAGAGCGTGATGCTGCAGCAGGAAAGGCCAATGCGATTCCAGGCTGCACTTATCTGATTATATACATGAGCCAAGAGCACGATGCTGCAGCTAAAAAGGCCAATGTGATCCCAAGATTGCACCCATACATATCAAGCTGAGCATGAGCCAAGGGTGTGATGCTGCAGCAGAAAAGGCCAATGCAATACTAGTCTGCACCCATAGGATTAGCTACAGATTGGATGCATGTAAAAGGTATCTAGGAGTCAACCGGAGCACGAGCCGAGAGTGTGATGCTGCAGCAGAAAAGGCCAATGTGATGCCAGGCTGCGACAATAGGATTAGACGCATATCAAGCTGAGCATGAGCCAAGAGTGCGATGCTGCAGCAGAAAAGGCAAATACGATTCCAGGCTACACTCATACAATTATATACATATCAAGCTGAGCATTAGCCAAGAGTGTGATGCTGCAGCGGAAAAGGCCAATACGATTCCAGGCTGCACTCATATGATTATATACATATCAAGCTGAGCATGAGCCAAGGGTGTGATGCTGCAGCGGAAAAGGCCAATACGATTCCAGGCTGCACTCATACGATTCTATACATATCAAGCTGAGCATGAGCCGAGAGTGTGATGCTGCAGCGGAAAAGGCAAATACGATGCTAGGCTGCAGCCATAGGATTATATACATATCAAGCTGAGCATGAGCCGAGAGTGTGATGCTGCAGCGGAAAAGGCCAATACGATTCCAGGCTGCACTCATACGATTCTATACATATCAAGCTGAGCATGAGCCAAGGGTGTGATGCTGCAGCAGAAAAGGCCAATACGATGCCAGGCTGCACTCATACGATTCTATACATATCAAGCTGAGCATGAGCCAAGAGTGTGATGCTGCAGCAGAAAAGGCCAATACGATTCCAGGCTGCACTCATACGATTCTATACATATCAAGCTGAGCATGAGCCAAGGGTGTGATGCTGCAGCAGAAAAGGCCAATACGATTCCAGGCTGCACTCACATGATTCTATACATATCAAGCGGAGCATGAGCCAAGAGTGTGATGCTGCAGCGGAAAAGGCCAATACGATTCCAGGCTGCACTCATATGATTCTATACATATCAAGCTGAGCATGAGCCAAGAGTGTGATGCTGCAGCGGAAAAGGCCAATACGATTCCAGGCTGCACTCACATGATTCTATACATATCAAGCTGAGCATGAGCCAAGGGTGTGATGCTGCAGCAGAAAAGGCCAATACGATGCCAGGCTGCACTCATACGATTCTATACATATCAAGCTGAGCATGAGCCAAGAGTGTGATGCTGCAGCAGAAAAGGCCAATACGATTCCAGGCTGCACTCACATGATTCTATACATATCAAGCTGAGCATGAGCCAAGAGTGTGATGCTGCAGCGGAAAAGGCCAATACGATTCCAGGCTGCACTCACATGATTCTATACATATCAAGCTGAGCATGAGCCAAGGGTGTGATGCTGCAGCAGAAAAGGCCAATACGATGCCAGGCTGCACTCATACGATTCTATACATATCAAGCTGAGCATGAGCCAAGAGTGTGATGCTGCAGCGGAAAAGGCCAATACGATTCCAGGCTGCACTCACATGATTCTATACATATCAAGCTGAGCATGAGCCAAGGGTGTGATGCTGCAGCAGAAAAGGCCAATACGATGCCAGGCTGCACTCATACGATTCTATACATATCAAGCTGAGCATGAGCCAAGAGTGTGATGCTGCAGCAGAAAAGGCCAATACGATTCCAGGCTGCACTCACATGATTCTATACATATCAAGCTGAGCATGAGCCAAGGGTGTGATGCTGCAGCGGAAAAGGCCAATACGATGCCAGGCTGCACTCATACGATTCTATACATATCAAGCTGAGCATGAGCCAAGAGTGTGATGCTGCAGCAGAAAAGGCCAATACGATTCCAGGCTGCACTCACATGATTCTATACATATCAAGCTGAGCATGAGCCAAGGGTGTGATGCTGCAGCAGAAAAGGCCAATACGATGCCAGGCTGCACTCATACGATTCTATACATATCAAGCTGAGCATGAGCCAAGAGTGTGATGCTGCAGCGGAAAAGGCCAATACGATTCCAGGCTGCACTCACATGATTCTATACATATCAAGCTGAGCATGAGCCAAGGGTGTGATGCTGCAGCAGAAAAGGCCAATACGATGCCAGGCTGCACTCATACGATTCTATACATATCAAGCTGAGCATGAGCCAAGAGTGTGATGCTGCAGCGGAAAAGGCCAATACGATTCCAGGCTGCACTCACATGATTCTATACATATCAAGCTGAGCATGAGCCAAGGGTGTGATGCTGCAGCAGAAAAGGCCAATACGATGCCAGGCTGCACTCATACGATTCTATACATATCAAGCTGAGCATGAGCCAAGGGTGTGATGCTGCAGCGGAAAAGGCAAATACGATGCTAGGCTGCACCCATACGATTCTATACATATCAAGCTGAGCACGAGCCGAGAGTGTGGTGCTGCAGTGGAAAAGGCCAATACGATTCCAGGCTGCATGCATACGATTATATACATATCAAGGTGAGCATGAGCCAAGAGTGTGGTGCTGCAGCAAAAAGGCCAATGCAATACTAGTCTGCACCCATAGGATTAGATACAGATTAGATGCATGCAAAAGGGATCTAGGAGTCAAACCGAGCATGAGCCAAGAGTGTGATGCTGCAGCGGGAAAGGCCAATGCAATACGAGTCTGCACCCAGAGGATTAGATACAGATTGGATGCATACAAAAGAGATCTAGGAGTCAAGTGGAGCACGAGCCGAGAGTGTGATGCTGCAGCGGGAAAGGCCAATGCAATACGAGTCTGCACCCATAGGATTAGATACAGATTGGATGCATGCCAAACGCATCTAGGAGTCAAGTGGAGCATGAGCCAAGAGTGTGATGCTGCAGCAAAAAAGACCAACGCCATGCCAGGTTTATATGCATATCGGACGGGGTGTGGGTTGTGCTCGTTGCGCTCTCACCATGTTGGGGAAGTAGGCTACGGCCTTGCCTTGCTTGTCCATCTTGAAGAGGGCCGGGAGGTCGATGATGTCCTTCTCGCCCAGGCCCAGCTCTTCCTTCAGGATGTCCCGGTTCCAGTCGATGCATCTCTGCAAGGAGGGAAAGCAGAGTCAGGGGACGATGGGACGCCCATTCCTTCCGTCCTTCCTTCTCCTCCTCCAAAAGGGACGCTGCTCACCTGGACATATTGGTTCTCTTGCACCATGACCTCATTGGACACCACTTTGTTGATGGTCACTCGCTTCGTATCCGTTCCGGTGTAGCCTGCGGAGAGGACAACGTTGCAAAAATGGGCCTGGGCTGGGGCGGATTTGACCCCAACTTTGCCCCACAACAACAACAACACCTTTGAACATGACGGCTTCCCCGTGTCCTTCCTTCTGCTTCTCTCTGAATAGTTTATAGCAGGCGGAAGGGCTGGCCATCAGCATCCGGAATTGCTGCGGAGAGAAGGAAAATGTGCTCCATTCGCTGGGTCAGGAAGAAGGGTTTTGGGTTGCTTACAATGGAGTTGTACAAGGCTCTGAGCCTCCACTGCCAAAGAGGCCAAACTACAAATCCCAGGACCCCAAAATATCTATTTATCCATCTGCCTATCTATCTGTTAGGCTTGTTGGATTAAAAATGGTTGAAAACTAAAAATATTTCAAAAAGGAAATATTTCCAAATTTATTCCAAATTACGAAGATTCCGACCAAACCTAACGATGTCTACTATTTATGTATCTATTTATCTATCTATCTATCCATCCATATCTATCCTATCTATCTATCTATCTATCTATCTATCTATCTATCTATCTATCTATCTATCTATCTGCCTATCTATCTATATGCCTATCTATTAGGCTTGTTTGTGCCCCCCCCCCAATGGTTCAAAACCCATTTCAGATGGACTTTCGGTTTCCTTAAAAAATTCGAAATTGCTCCAAAAGGGGAATCTTTCCGAATTTATTCCGAATTAGGAAGATTCCAATCGAACCTAACAATGTTGACTATCTATGTATCTATCTATCCCTCCATCCATCTATCTATCTGTCATCTATCATCCATATCTATCTATCTATCTATCTATCTATCTATCTATCTATCTATCTGCCTATCTATCTATTAAGGTTGTTTGACCACCACCCCCGCCCCCAAATGGTTGAAAACTTATTTTGGATGGACTTCCGGTTTCCTTAAAAACTTCAAAATTGCTCCAAAAAGGAAATCTTTCCCAATTTATTCCAAATTACGAAGATTCTGACCGAACCTAACAATGTCTACTATTTATCTATCTATCCATCCATCCATCCATCCTCCCTCCATATCCATCCATCCATCTATCTATCTATTAGGCTTGTTTGATTAAAAAAAATGGTGGAAAATTTGTTTTGGATGGATTTCCGGTTTCCTTAAAAACTTCGAAATTGCTCCAAAAAGGAAATCTTTCCCGATTTATTCTGAATTATGAAGATTCTGACCGAACCTAACAATGTCTACTATCTATCTATCTACCTGCTTATCTATCTATTAGGCTTGTTTGATTTTAAAAAATGGTAGAAAATTTGTTGCGGATGGATTTCCGGTTTCCTAAAAAACTTCGAAATCGCTTCAAAAACGAAATCTTTCCGAATTTATTCCGAATTATGAAGATTCTGACCAAACCTAACAATGTCTACTATCTATCTATCTATCTATGTATCTATCTATATCTATATCTATATCTATCTATCTATCTATCCATCCATCCATCCATCCATCCATCCATCTATCTGTCATCTATCTATCTATCTATCTATCTATCTATCTATCTATCTATCTATCTATCTATCTATCTATCTGCCTATCTATTTATTAGGCTTGTTTGATAAAAAATGGTTGAAAACTTGTTTCAGATGGACTTCCGATTTTTCCGAATTTATTCTGAATGACGAAGATTCCGACCGAACCTTACGATGTCTACTATGTATGTATGTATGTATGTATGTATGTATGTATCCATCCATCCATCCATCCATCCATCCATATCTATCTTATCTATCTTATCTATCTATCTATCTATCTATCTATCTATCTATCTATCTGCCTATCTATCTATTAAGCTTGTTTGACCCCCCCCCCCCCCAAATGGTTGAAAACCCGTTTCGGATAGACTTCCGGTTTCCTTAAAAATTTCGAAATTGCTCCAAATAGGAAATTTTTCCGAATTTATTCCAAATTACGAAGAGGCATGCATGCAAAAGGTATCGAGGAGTTGAGCTGCTAACTATGTATGTATGTATCTATCCATCTACTATCTATCTATCCATTCATCCATCTATCTATCTGTCATCTAGTATCTCTATCTATCTATCTATCTATCTATCTATCTATCTATCTATCTATTAGGCTTGTTTGATTTTAAAAAATGGTTGAAAACTTTTTTTGGATAGACTTCCTGTTTCCTTAAAAACTTTGAAATTCTTCCAAAAAGGAAATCTTTCCGAATGTCTTCCGTATTACGAAGATTCCGACCAAACCTAATGATGTCTACTATGTATGTATGTATGTATGCATCTATCCATCTATCTATCTGTCATCTATCTATCTGCCTATCTATCTATTAGGCTTGTTTGAGCCCCCCCCCCAAAAAAAAATGGTTCAAAACCCGTTTCGGATGGACTTCCGGTTGCCTTAAAAGCTTTGAAACTTTGTATCTATCTATCTATCCATCCATCCATCTATCTGCCATCTATCATCCATATCTATCTATCTATCTATCTATCTATCTATCTATCTGACTATCTATCTATTAGGCTTGTTTGACCCCCCCCCCCCAAATGGTTCAAATGTAACCTAATGATGCCTGCTATCTATCTATCTATCTATCTATCTATCTATCTATCTATCCATCCATCCATCTGTCATCTATCATCCATCGAATCCGGGGAGAGGCGGATGAGCTCCCTCTATCAGCTCCAGCTCCTCATGCGGGGACATGAGAGAAGCCTCCCACAAGGATGATAAAAACATTAAATCATCCGGGCGTCTCCTGGGCAACGTCTTTGCAGGCGGCCAATTCTCTCACACCAGAAGCGACTTGCAGTTTCTCAAGTTGCTCCTGACAGGACTAATAATAATCTATAATCCATATCTATCTATCTATCATCTATCTATTTATCATTATCCATATCTGTCTGGCTATCTGTCTACCTGCCATCTATCATCCTTATCTTTCTATTTCTCTGTCTAGCGTCTAGCATATGTATTTATCTACCGATCTATCTGTTATCGATCATCCCTATCTATGTACCTATCTATTTGCCAACTATCATCGCTATCTATCAATCACCCTGTCAATCTTTATCTACTATTATCTCTGTATAGCTATCAGCCATCTATCATCGCTATCTATCTATCTTTATCTATATCTATTTATCTACCTACCTATTTACTATTATATCTACCTCCCTATCTATCTTTCTGCCATTATCTCTATCTATCTATCTATCTATCTATCTATCTATCTATCTATCTATCTATCTATCATCTATCTATCTATCTATCTATCTATCTATCTCCATTTCTATCTATCTGTTTGTCTGTCTGTCTACCTACCTATTTTTGCCATTATCTGTCTATCTATCTATCTATCTATCTATCTATCTATCTATCTATCTATCTATCTACCTCCCTATCTATCTTTCTGCCATTATCTCTATCTATCTATCTATCTATCTATCTATCTATCTATCTATCTATCTATCTATCTATCATCTATCTATCTATATCTATCTATCTATCTATCTATCTATCTATCTCCATTTCTATCTATCTGTTTGTCTGTCTGTCTACCTACCTATTTTTGCCATTATCTATCTGTCTGTCTGTCTGTCTGTCTGTCTGTCTGTCTGTCTGTCTGTCTATCTATCTATCTATCTATCTATCTATCTATCTATCTATCTACCATCCCTATCTATCTACCATTATCCCTATCTATCTGCCTATCATTATCCTTAACTATCTGCCATATATCATATTGATCTGTCTATCTATCTATCTGCCATCTATCATCTCCTGTCTGTCTGTCTGTCTGTCTATCTATCTATCTATCTCCGTATCTATCTATTTGCCTACCAACCAATCTCTATCTGCCATTTAACATCCCTATCTATTTATCTATCTAGAATTCTATTTGCCTACCTACCATTATCCATATCTATTTGTCTGTCTATCTGTCTATCCACCATCTATCATTCATATCTGTGTGTCTGTCTCCTTCTCGTCCTCCCTCCATCTATCCATTTATGGCTCTATCATCAATCAAACTGCATTCAGACTACAATGCAAGCACACCCCTGGAAGGAAAGAAGGGCCTTTGTTGTGGTGACCCACCCGGTCTTTGCAGTGTCCCTTTCCTTCAAATATTAAACCTATTGAGAAAGAACGCTCACCTTTTTGCCAGGAACGGGGACAAAGGTGACAAACTCGTCCACGTGGCCGACAGTCAGCCAGTCCGAATAGAGCTCGATGGGGGCCTGGACCTGTTGGGCGTAGAGGAAATCCCGGACCACTTTGGTCATCCTTCGCCCAGCGGATCTGCACATTCGGGGGTCAAAAGGACAATGATAAGTAAGTACCCTTCGAGTCGATAAAGTTTTGGGGAAAAAATGCAATTATGATGACTTACGTGGGGAAGCTGCTCCCGATCAGGATGCGGCCCAAGGGGAACTCCTTCCCCTTGACCGTTACTGGAGGACTGACCTCCAGGTTCCCAAAGGAGTCCAAGCTGGTCACCGCTTCGAAGAGGGGCTCCCGGGTCACGTAACCGAAATCTGGACCCTGCATCCCAATACAAGAAGAAGAGCATCAACGGGCAACCTAGACGACCTAAAGGAGAGGCCTACCGAAATAGTGTGACTCGCCCAGAGCCAAGCGTTAGGCTTTCCAAATTGAAATCTAATGCTCTAGAAAGCAATAGTCCTTTAAGGACCACATCCAATTTGTCATCACAAGGAGTAGGACTAGATGACATGGTGATTATTATGGCAACATCTCCAGTGGGACTAAGAAGATCCCTGGCAAAATTCAATGTGTACTGTGAGCTAAATTGACTCACTATGAACAAGGATAAATCCAAAATTATAGTCTTTGGAAAAAACAGGTCCCTGAAAGGCGTACATTTGGAACAAATTAATTGCTACAAATATCTAGGCATTATGTTCTCTTCGTCTGGTGCTTGGGCTAACCACATTACTCATAGTATACAAAGAGCAACGAAAGCAGCAGATTCCATTTATAAGCTGTGCCATCATAGATACCCAGGCACAATCAGATCTGCCCTGGAAGTCTTGAAAACGAAAATAATGCCAGCACTTATATTTAGGGCTGAAATTTGGGGGCACATCAATCTGGCTAAGATTGAAGCCTTCCAAGTGAAGCAGCTTCGCACCTTCCTGGGCCTTTCCAGAACAATGCTGATGGCTATGTGTATGGTTTCTTAATCGTTTGTTGTTGTTGTTCATTCGTTCAGTCGTCTCCGACTCTTCGTGACCTCATGGATCAGCCCACGCCAGAGCTCCCTGTCGGCCGTCACCACCCCCAGCTCCTTCAAGGTCAGTCCAGTCACTTCAAGGATGCCATCCATCCATCTTGCCCTTGGTCGGCCCCTCTTCCTTTTGCCTTCCACTTTCCCCAGCATAATTGTCTTCTCTAGGCTTTGCTGTCTCCTCATGATGTGGCCAAAGGACTTCAACTTTGTCTCTAGTTTCCTTCCCTCCAGTGAGCAGCCGGGCTTTATTTCCTGGAGGATGGACTGGTTGGATCTTCTCGCAGTCCAAGGCACTCTCAGCACTTTCCTCCAACACCACAGCTCAAAAGCATCGATCTTCCTTCGCTCAGCCTTCCCTAAGGTCCATCTCTCACATCCGTAGGTTACTACAGGGAATACCATGGCTTTGACTAGGCGGATCTTTGTTGCCAGTCTGATGTCTCTACTCTTCACTATTTTATCGAGATTGCTCTCCTCCCAAGAAGTAAGCATCTCCTGATTTCCTGGCCACAGTCTGCATCTGCAGTAATCTTTGCACCTAGAAATACAAAGTCTGTCACTGCCTCCACATTTTCTCCCTCTATTTCCCAGTTGTCAATCATTCTTGTTGCCATAATCTTGGTTTTTTATGTTTAGCTGCAACCCGGCTTTTGCGCTTTCTTCTTTCACCTTGATTAGAAGGCTCCTCAGCTCCTCCTCGCTTTCGGCCATCAGAGTGGTGTCATCTGCATATCTGAGGTTGTTAATGTTTCTTCCAGCCATCTTCACCCCAGCTTTGCATTCCTCAAGCCCCGCACACCCTCGCATGATGCGTTCTGCGTACAAGTTAAAAAGGTTGGGTGAGAGGATGCAGCCTTGCCGTACGCCTTTCCCAATCTTGAACCCGTCTCCTGTTCCGTGGTCAGTTCTGACTGTTGCTCCTTGGTCCTTGTACAGATTCCTCAGGAGAGAGGGAAGGGGGCTTGGGATGCCCATCCCACCAAGAGTTTTTAGCTTCCCACAAAAGGAATATTCATTTAGAGCACTACCTAACCATTCCACTTCCTCTACCCTTAAGAAGAATATATACTAGGGCTAGGTTTGAACAACTCGGTACTATGGTGCAAACTGGGCGCTACTGGAACATCCCAAGAAGGGAGAGATTCTGCGTCTGGGGAGAACAAACAGTGGAAGTGTCAAGACCCAGGCGGACCAACGAGGCAAAACGGCAGCTTAAGAGTTAACAGAAGGTCTTTAATGTCAAATTAACAGTTCAAAAGGCTCTTAACAGCAGAGCTAGTAAACAAAAGAGTCAGCGGCTGGCTGGAATGTAAACAAAGCCGCAGCCCAGGCAGTCTGAGCTGCAAAAAGGAAAGCTGGCAAACAGTTCGCAATAAACACAGAATAAAGTCAGTCCAAGAAATCACTAGGCAATAAACAGCATGAGGAGCGGTCCAACGATGTCACAGGAGATAGGCAGAAGCGAAGAATGGTCAAGACGGTCCAAGGGTCAGGGCAGGAGACAAGACTCACGATTCCAAGCCAGGCAAAGTCGTCAGCACGATCACGAAGTCACGATTCTGGATACAAGGACTCAAGGCAAGAGTTAACAGCAAGATGCACAGGTACACGACACTTTGAACTCTGCAACAAGATGGATCCAAGGCTACTCCTTAAATCCCATCAGAATCACTAGATTCACCTCCAGGTGCCTCTAGTTCCACAGGTGAACTGCGTTCTCTCCACTGCTGCCAGTCTGCGCTCCGAGCTGCATCCTGCGAAGCAGTATCCGAAACCCATGGGTCTGTGAATCCTAGGAACTCATCGCTGGAAGTTGGAGCATTAACCACATCCAAAACCTCCTGAACCCTGGTCCAGTCCAGCTCTTCATCCTCACTGTCAGACTCCTCGCTATCTGCTATGTCTTTAAGATGCTTGGAAATGGATTCCTCATCACTGTCTGAACTGCGTGCTACTCACTTTACACCACGGTAATCCTCCACCTCCATTTCCTCACGAGTAAACCCCTGAAAGTCTTCCTCATCAGTAGATTCTAAGAACAAGTCCCTAATGCGCTTCAGCTGTTGCTGAGCCTCTTCCTCCTCCAAGCCTCGTTTCCTCCTACTAGCACTAGTAGATACATGAGGCACACGCTGAGTTACAACAGGAAGACATTGAACATTTCTTAATTGACTGTCCAGCATACACCGAACTGCAAGACAGATATTTACAGCCAATGTTATCCAACTGCAGGTCCCCCAACAGAAATGATATTCTGACATCCCTCTTGCAAGGGCATCATCAGAGGAAGCCTTTTTATTCTGAAAGCTATTAAGAAAAGAGCAGACTTCCTGAAAGAAGTACCAGGAAAATAAGATTCTGACTTATCACCTTGTTGCCTTGTTTTTTTACTCGTGTTTACTCGTGTTTTGTTTTGAAATGGTCATATGACTGATCAAATAAATAAATATTATTATTATTAGACTAGATGACCTTTAGGAGTCCCTTTAAAGGCTGGACATCCCTTATCCGGAATTGCAAAACATTCCAAAATCGGTACACGGATGACTGAGACGGTGACACCTTGGCTTGCTATTTTACGGACTTGAGTTTTATCTCCAAGGTAACAGTAGTAGTAATAACAATAATATCGTTGTTGTTGTTGTTATAGCTCTCTTGCTTTTTCTGATAGTCCGAAACACAAATGGATTTCATGTTTGGACTTGGGTCCCATCCCCAAGGTAATAATAATAATAATAATAATAATAATAATAATAATAATAATAATATCATTACTATTAGTTTTGTTATTATTATTACTATTACGTCACCAGCTCGTTTCCCGGGACCGCAAACAGCCGAAGAAGACAATGGGTGCCGCGTCCGAATGTTATCTCTCCCAAAGCCGGGAAGCAGCTGCCCTTGACAGGCAAATAAATAGACTTGTCACAACGCCGTGATAATCAGAGAAGCGATGTTGCGGCAGAGCTTTGTCCTGAGCCTTTGCTGAGCCCGTCAAATCCCCCCCAAAGCCCACTTTGTGAGCCATCAGCAGGCAAGGCCAGGGAAACCCAAGAAGGGTCCCGGAATACAAGATGACCCCCGTTCCTTCATCGAGAGGGGCTGGCATCATCTATCGATATACATATATGTCAAAGTATGTGTTCAGGCTTGTCTCTCTGCCTGTACCACAAGGGCCTGATGGGTTTCTTTTCAGAGCTGGAGAAGGGGGAAAGAAGGCCTCCTTCTCGGAGCTGGAGAAGAGAGAAAGTAGGGCAGAGGATGGGAGAAAGTAGGCCTCCTCGGAGCTGGAGAAGGGAGAAAGTAGGGCAGGAGAAGGGATAAAGTAAGACTCCTTCTCAGAGAAGGAGAAGGGAGAAAGTAGGCTGCCTCGGAGCTGGAGAAGGGAGAAAGTAGGGCGGGAGAAGGGAGAAAGTAAGACTCCTTCTCAGAGAAGGAGAAGGGAGCCTCCTTCTCAGAGAAGGAGAAGGTAAGCCTCCTTCTGGGAGCTGCAAAATGGAGAAAGTAGGCTTTCTGACAGCTGGAGTAGGGAGATAGTCCTTAGAGCAGGAGAAGGGAAGAAGTAGGCATTCTTATCAGAGCTAGAGAAGAGAGAAAGTAGGCATTTGCAGAACTAGTGAAGGGAGACAGTATTCTTCCTTCTCAGAGCTGGAGAAAGAGGAAAGTTGGCTCTCTTTTCAGAGCTGGAGAAGAGAGAAAGAAGGGCAGAGGATGAGAGAAAGTAGGCCTCCTTCTCAGAGTTGGAGTAGGGAGATAGTTCTTAGAGCAGGAGAAGGGAGGAAGTAGGCATTCTTATCAGAGCTAGAGAAGAGAGAAAGTAGGCATTTGCAGAAGTAGTGAAGGGAGAAAGTAGTCTTCCTTCTCAGAGCTGGAGAAAGACGAAAGTTGGCTCTCTTTTCAGAGCTGGAGAAGGAAGAAAGAAGGGCAGAGGATGAGAGAAAGTAGGCCTCTTTCTCAGAGCTCGAGAAGGGAGAAAGTAGACTTTCTTACAGCTGGAGAAGGGAGATAGTTCTTAGAGTGGGAGAAGGGAGGAAGTAGGCATTCTTATCAGAGCTAGAGAAGAGAGAAGGTAGGTATTTGCAGAACTAGTGAAGGGCTGGAGAAAGAGGAAAGCTGGCTTTCTTTTCAGAGATAGAGACAAGACAAAGTAGGCCTCCTTCTCAGAGCTGGAAAAGGGGGAAAGTAGGCCTTCTTTCTGGCTTCTCAGAGCTGGAGAATGGAGGAAGTAGGCCTTCTCAGAGATAGTGAAGGAAGAAAGGTAGGTCTTCATAGAGTTGGAGAAGGGAGATAT